GTTTAAAAGCTTAATAGTAATACTATAATAGGTATATTGCAGTAAATCCTCTCTATTATAGATTATAAATCTTACCTTTTACCTCTTAGTTTCTATTTACTAGTTTAAATATATAAATAAGCTTAAATTTAAAGTTCTTATATTTATTATAGAATAATTAAGTTATATCTATTTATTTATTTCTAAGGCTATTAATATAATTATAAATAATTAATTCTATAAGTCTTTATATTTTACTATTAAGGAGACTTGTAGTATATTAGGTTTTTATTTTATTAATACTAAATTAAATAGCATAATATAGTTAATAACTGCAGAAAGCTATATATAATCCTTAAAGCTATTTAATATTTCTATTATAAGAGTTAAATTACCTAGAATATAGGATTTCTCTAGGGTCCTTTCTTATTATAATAAGGGTAAGCAGTATATTTAATATACTCTTTATATAGGCATAAAGATTTTTCTGCTTTTTTACTAAGTCCTTTAGCAATATTAGTAAGGTTTTTAAATTATTCTTTATATCTTTTAATTTTATTTTATAATATTATAGTATTATATTTTATATTATTAAGGAATTTATTATATTATTCTCCTAGGTATTTAAGTCTTAATTAAGTTTCTTAATCTTATCTTTATAACTCTTTAGATAGATAAGCAGAGTAATAAATAGCCATTTAATCTCAGCGATATTAAGGCAGTTTAGAGTAATAGGCACTATTATATAAATATTACTTAGTATTAATAAAGTATAGTCTAAATAAGACCTATTAATATATAATAATTATAGTTCCTAAGGGATAAACTAATCTATACTAGGTTTATATTAGTAAATATAATATAGCTAGTGCTATTCTATCTTAAAAAGTTAATATAACTTTAGATTATAGTAACTTTCCTCCTTAGTTTAAAATATAGTTTAAAATTTTAGCATCTTAGTATAAGTTTAGCAATAGAATTTTAAGATAGTATATTATATAACTGGATTAATTCCTACAGAGCTTTTGCCTCTGGGTTAGCCTGCATTTTAACCTTCTATATCCCCGATATAATCCTATTAACCTTCAGTTAACCCTATATATAGCTTCTGCTACTTATAAGGCCTCTTCTGCGGATACCCTTATTACTTTAGCTACCTTAGCAGTATCCTTTGCAATCTTATCTTTAATTAACTTAATAATAGTATTATTAAAGGCCTTATTAGCCTAGGCTATCTATAACCTAAGGCACTAATACCAGGCCTTATGCCTATAGTCTGACCTAACTTCCTCGAGGAAGGTAACTTTATCTTAATAGATATTATCAGGCTATCTTATAAGCCTCTTCTTAAGGTCCCTTAGATGCTTAAGCTCCTGCTTAAGCCCTGTTACTATCTGGTCTAGCTTATAGGTCTAAAAATGCATTACAAAGAGCAAGAGGAGCTTATAGCTAAAGGCAATTAGCCTAATAAGGCTATAGTAGTTATTATTATACCGGGCCTCTCAGAGGCACCTAGCCTTATGCCTTAGCTACTGTAAGTCTTTGCCGTTATTATTAAGTAAGATAGTATTAATAATATCCTTTTCGCTGAGGAAATAGCCATTAGAATAGTTATAAATGCCACTGTAGAGGCTTCTTCTTCTAGGCGGCATAGTACTATATTAGTTAGCTATATAATACGGCTAGTAGTAGATAGACTAGGGATTAACTGACTGCCTTAGTATTTAGATAAGTTTAGAGGTACTCAGTGGTAGGTTATAGGAGGAAGAAGCTACTATATATATAGAGGCTTCTTTTATTACCCTCTTATTATAGAGTTTAGTTATTACTATATTAGTTATCTTATTAGGAAAGTTAATTATTAAGAGAAACTTAGGTTTAATATATTAGGTTTTTAATCTGCATAGATCCTCTAGTTTTGAAATTATAAGAAGACTTTAAGAAGACTTAGGCTCAGCGTAGAGCATAGAGTTAAAAATAAAATAAAATAGAGATAATTAAACCTACTGTAATCCTAAAAGCAGATAAATTAAAAAACCTATATAAAGAAATAAAAATAGAACTGGGATTTATTAGAAAAAGAATAAGATAAATACTATAATATTAAGAATATAAAAGTAATAACCTTTAAAGAGGAAAAAATAACTTACTTATTTATAAAATATATTATAATAAAATAATCTTTCTATAAATTAGACTATAAATATATTAGAATATATAAAACTATAAAGAGAATTTTAAAAAATAACTATAAACTAGACTTATAACTAAAAGTTAAGCTCTATTTAATCTTTTATTTTTTTTAATTTAAATTAATAGCTAATATAATATAAATTAAAATTAATATTAAACCTAAAGAAATTAAATAACTAGAGGTCTATAAAGTAGAAATAATTAGGGATATAAAGAAAATTAATAAATAAATAATATACCTTATAAAATAGAAAAACTACCTAGAAAACGAGAATATATATAGGAATTACCGGAAAACCTTATTAATGCCTAATAACTCCTAAAGAACTTTTACTAGTTTCATTAAAAAATAAAGGATTAAAATTAAAATTACCTAGTCCTAAGAATCCCTAGTCTAGATTCTTAGTATTTAAAGAATATAACTCTTTAATAGCTGCCTCCCTATAATAGCTTAACTCTTTAGCTAACTTATCTTTACTATCTAAGCCCTAAATACCCTAATAAAGTTTAATAGTATAATATTCATTTACTTTATTTTTTATCTTTTAAATATAAGATAAATAACTAGCTGCAATAGCTATATAAGCTTATAGTAAAGCTAATTCCTTATAAAGCTTTAGAAGATCTTTACTAGCTTTCTTCGTATTATCCTTTAGTTTCTTTTCTTGGGAAATTAATTTCTATATTAAAAGAAATTAGTAAAATAAAAGAAGTTATAAAAATACTAGTAATCTTATATAAAGAAGCCACTCAAGTACTATTATATAAGTAACTATAATAGATACATTTACTATAATATAAAGAATTTACTATTATAAGATAATCCTTTTAGTGCTTAAAATAATAGGAATAAGGCATATCTGTAAGTTTATATAATAACTTAATAGCCTTAGTAAGAAGTTTATACTCTTTAGTCTTATAATTAATTCTCTTTAAAATATAATTAGATATTTTATTAAAGACTTATAATAAGAATATTTATAAGTCTAAGTTAAGACTTATTAGTTTTAGGATAAGAACAGATAGTTAAATATAAGTCTTAAGGATAAGACTTAATAAAAGGGAAAGATTATATTATAACCTTAGCAGTTATATTATATATACCCTATAAATTTTATATAACTTAACCTACTTAATTATAAACTTACTTCCTAAATTTACTAGACTAATTATAAGTAGATTACACTTATATTAGATTACTATACTCTAAGAGTACCTATAATCTAGGAATTACTATAATCCCTAAATCTAAGTAATCCCCTAAAGATCCCTTAGGTATATATAAATTTATTTACTTAGCACTAGATAGAATTTAGCTTATTAGCTATTAATAAAATATCTTTACCTAAATATGCCTTACCTGCTCTATTTACTATTAAGAAATATAATACTTTGCTATACTTAGTATTATAATGCCCTATATATCTGCTAATATAAACCTAGTATAGACTAGTTTATCCCTTAGGAATTATAACTATTACACTATCTCAGCAAATTTAAAAAAAAGCCTTATAATAAGTAATAATCTTACTAGTAGTCTTAGTAGTAATTAAAGAAAAGTATAATAAATAATATCAATTAATTAATTAAATTATTATAAACTTATTATATAGATAATAAAGGGTATTTTATTTTATTTTTTAACTCTATGCTCTACGCTAAGCCTAAGTCTTCTTAAAGTTTTCTCATAAATTTAAAACTAGAGGATCTATGCAGATTAAAAACCTAATATATTAAACCTAAGTTTCTCTTAATAATTAACTTTCCTAATAAGATAACTAATATAGTAATAACTAAACTCTATAATAAGAGGGTAATAAAAGAAGCCTCTATATGCATAGTAGCTTTTTCCTCCTATAACCTACCACTAAGCACCTCTAAATAATTACTTATCTAAATACTAAGGCAATCAGTTAATCCCTGGTCTATCTGCTACTAGCCGCATTATATAGCTAACTAATATAGTACTATGCCGCCTAGAAGAAGAAGCCTCTACAGTGGCATTTATAACTATTCTAATGGCTATTTCCTCAGCGAAAAGGATATTATTAATACTATCTTACTTAATAATAACGGCAAAGACTTACAGTAGCTAAGGCATAAGGCTAGGTGCCTCTGAGAGGCCCGGTATAATAATAACTACTATAGCCTTATTAGGCTAATTGCCTTTAGCTATAAGCTCCTCTTGCTCTTTGTAATGCATTTTTAGACCTATAAGCTAGACCAGATAGTAACAGGGCTTAAGCAGGAGCTTAAGCATCTAAGAGACCTTAAGAAGAGGCTTATAAGATAGCCTGATAATATCTATTAAGATAAAGTTACCTTCCTCGAGGAAGTTAGGTTAGACTATAGGCATAAGGCCTGGTATTAGTGCCTCAGGTCGCAGATAGCCTAGGCTAATAAGGCCTTTAATAATGCCGTTATTAAATTAATTAAAGATAAGATTGCAAAGGATGCCGCTAAAGTAGCTAAAGTAATAAGGGCATCTGCGGAGAAGGCCTTATAAGTAGTAAAAGCTATATATAGGGTTAACTAAAGGTTAATAGGGTTATATCGGGGATATAGAAAGTTAAAATGCAGGCCAACCTGGAGGCAAAAGCTAACTCTGTAGGAATTAATCTAGTTATATAGTATGCTATTTTAAAATTCTATTGCTAAACTTATACTAAGATGCTAAAATTTTAAACCATATTTTAAACTGAGGATAATAAAGGGTATATAAAAAAGTATAATACTTACTTATCTATAATGCTTACTTATTAAGCATATTATAGAAAAGTATTATATTCGCTTATTTGTCATGCTTGCTTATTAAATACATTACTGCTCTAGTAAGCTTGCTATTAAATTAAAATAATTACATCGACCCTGTGTTATCTTTGTTATATTTGCTAGTATTGTCCTCCCTCCTACTGTAAACACCATTCGTTGCTTTTGGGCCTTCGAGTAAGCCTGCCATGTTGAGGCATTTGCATACTGATACGTATTGGGGTTATAAGATCGTATGAAACTGCTCCAATATCCTTGAACAACCACTGTAGTGTTCATATTAGTGCCCCCGGCTAAGAAACTCGACAATGTTCCGCTACTTGCCCTCCCCGTTCCCCATATGGCATGCATTTCAGCGCAATGAGGCACACCCTTTCCTGGTGCATCCTCCACATCATACCAATAACTCCATGTTTTGCCAGGCATCCAGAACGACATTGCGCTCGTGAAAAAAAGACCAGAGCACATAAATCGCATGTCGCCGTACGCGTCCTTTAACTGTTTTGTCAAGCAACTAGCGTTGTTGCAACTGGCAGTCAGGTCGGAGTACAAGGCATTGATACTAGCCACATGAGTCGAGTTCATCTTGGGGTACTCGGCCTGCCAGAAATCGGTAGCCTCTGACTGAGACGATACAGTTGGGGAGAAGCCGATGCCCTCATTGGTTGTCGCACCGATTATGGTAGGTACTCTGACAAAGTTGCCTTGGTTGAAAGCGTCCCACAGCCCACTCCTTACCACCTCTCCATCGACGATAGGCATCCACATACTAATAGGAGTCTTTGTACTTCCTGGAGCCAGATAGTTTGTGTTAACGGCCGATATTTCGTAAACTGTTTTGTTCCGCATACATGCCATTGCGTCCCCATCAGTACAGCCCAGTTTGGTCATGATGCTGTTTGCTCTGTAGGCAGCTTCATACATAGTAACAATGGGCGACGATGAGATGGACTCAGCCGAAGCGGCATGAAACAGCTTGTCATCCCTACCACCATACATGGTCATGTGGAAGGCTACACTGGCGGCGCCAGATGAGTTACCGCCTAGGACAACGTGTTTTGGGTTTCCTCCAAACCTTGAGATATATCTCTGTACCCACTGCAATGCCTTTCTTTGGTCAAGAAGGCCGATGTTGGGCTGCACCTTATCGCCGTATGATAAGAAGCCAAAGACAGACACTCGATAGTTGAGTGTCACGACGATCATTTTCATGCCAGATGCCTGAATGAGTCCAGTACCGTCAACAGTTGGCTTTGAGTTGACGTTGAATCCGCCTCCTAGGATAAAGACATAGACTGGAAGCCTGGCCTTTCTGGCAGCATCTGTGGGTGCAAATACATTGATGAACAGACAATCTTCCGACTGAGATTTGCCGATCAAACTCGGTCTTGCTGCCAAGCCGACGCACTTGAGCCTGAACTGCGAGGGGTGGTCAACTCTGAGTTTCTACTGATGTTAAGTCTACTGACCTTGCTTGCGTTTTTGACTTGTCGCGACATTATGGGATCCTGAGGCGGCATGAACCTCAGATCACCGATAGGCGGCGCCGCATATCTCATACCGAGCCAGCTCGTGACTCCGTTCCCATTGTCCTTTCCTCTGTACTTGCTGTATGAGACATCGACAATGGGAGCCACAGCACTGGCTAGTGTAAGCAGCAATGCCAATATCGATAATGAAAAGAAGGGGAATGTAGAAGCCATGGCGAACAGACCTGATACAAGTGCATGTATGAATAGCAAGACACTCATGGGGATGTCATGCTTCTTTTATCAACAAACAATCGGGGGCTTTCCTCCTGAAGCAAGTTTAACTTTGCCATAGGACAAGTCGAGAATCATCGCCAAGACTACAAGTGCTTGTTGATATCCAAAGTGACCGACCATTCCATCATAGGCCATACAGCAGCGGTGGATTTGCAGACCTGGCTGCAAAGTTTGTCGAGCGTTGCTATCTCCGAATTCCATGACTAGATCAATCGGAATTCGCCCTATAGTCCAACTTGCAGTCCCAAGTAATCCTTGTCAAAGGACCAGACCAATCTGTCAGATTCTAGACATTGGTCTAGACTTTGGCATCAGTCAATCTTCTCTCCTTTGTGGTGTTTTTGATCTTGATAGGGGTAGGTTAGGTGAGCCTTTCCATTGATGAAAAGCCACATGACCTAAACCAAAGTCAGGTCGACATCCTCACAAGGCTGGAGGCAGATTTATTTCCGACAGGACGCTAAGCTAGGCGTTTCTATGTACCTAGCTAACATGCTCAAGCCACAAACCCGAGACCAGCCGGTCGGGCTAGTTGTTTGTTCCTCGCTATGCCCGAGATGATCGGTCCGCTGTGGAAATAGTAGTACTTTAGTAGGCCGATTGCTCAGCAGAGCCATTCAAGCCATGGGGACGGAATGAATCCCTTTGTCCTTGAAAGCTGGCACGATTTGGCAAAACAGCAGGATCGATCGGGCTACATGGATCTTTCGTGCCATGTGGAATCAGACAAGTGAGAAACGGCAGTATATTTGGTGGACATGGACGAGTTCAAATTCGACAAGCTTCGGCATTATCTTTGCTAAACTTGTGTTCTGCGTGATAAGAGACATAATGACCTTTAAGCCACTTGGTTGTTGGTGGACAGACATATGTCCGCATAGAGTGAAGGTGGCAACAAGCCAAGATACGAATACTTGCAGCAGTGTTCTTGGCAATTCCAGTTCCAGGGCTCTTTGATCGTTCTAGACCATTATTGTACTGAAATCATGTCCATCTGTTCATTTGTATACCAGAGGGTTTCCATTCCAGGCATTCTTCAATTGCTGGCTGGAATGATCTCGCATGGATACCTGTCACCATGTGGCAGCGAGACAAGGCATCAGAACTATGACATAGATGTCGGCTAGGTTATTATAATTCATGAGTACACACAATTTTTTTATTTTACCATAATGTACTATCCAAATCACTAACCTTAGGTATAGGTTAGGTAGTAAGCACTAACAATAACGTCTTCCACCATGTGTAGTCGTTTTATGTAAGAACGACCCACTCCCAGTGTACCCACTTGCTAGGCAGTTTCCCTTATCTTATCTGTCGCAAAAAAAAAAAAGTCAACTCTGTCTAACAAGCGTGAGTACAGACTTGCCTCTGTCAAACTTTTGATTGATCATTATTGACATAATATCCAATGGCGCCAACATTGCCTTCTCGAAAGCGAAAGGTCCTCGCGGAGCCTACTCCTGTCGACGATGAGCTCGCTGGCGTGGAACTTGATGGTATTCTATCCCAGAGCGAGGACGGCTCAGATTTTGAAGAAAGCGACGTCGACGGTGGATTAGAAGGCGACTCTTCCGAGAATGATCTAGATGACCACGACCAAGACGCCGAGGAAGACGATGATGACGACGATGCATATAGCGAAGACGCTTCTTCGGACGCCGGCGACAGCTTCGGAGCGCCTCCTGCTCTCGACGCTGATAACTCGGAACCGAACTATCGCGTTGTAAAGGATGCCAATGGAGGCGAGCGTTACGAATACGCAGAGGTTGATCCTGTCTACGACAGTGATGACTCTGACGCCCAAGGTCCCGTGAACACGATTGGAAATATTCCTCTTTCGTTTTACGATTCTTACCCCCATATTGGCTACGATATCAATGGCAAGAAAATCATGCGCCCAGCTACCGGGGAAGCGCTAGATGCCCTACTTGACAGCATCGAGATCCCCAAGGGCTGGACTGGCCTGACAGATCCCGAAACTGGAAAGCCGCTTGACCTTACCCAGGATCAACTCGAGCTTCTCAAGCGACTACAGATGAACGAGGTCCCGAATGAAGAATACGACCCTTATCCCGTATGTCTTTTCCTCTACTCTCAACACTTGGAGTTGTCATTGCTAACTTCCTAAGGACATGGTCCCATATTTCACAAGCATCGAGGAGAAAATGCCCCTCAGTGCTGCGCCAGAGCCGAAACGACGATTTATTCCCTCCAAGCACGAGGCAAAACGAGTGGCCAAGCTCGTTCGAGCTATCAAGGAGGGGCGGATTCTGCCTTACAAGCCCCAGGAGGAGCGTCAAAGAGAGGAAGAAGAGAAGGAGGAGTCCTACTATGATGTATGGGCAAACGAGGAGCCCCAGGATCCTCATGTCATGAACATCCCGGCCCCCAAACTCGCCCCTCCTGGATACGATCTCAGCTACAACCCCCCACCCGAATATTTGCCGACTGAAGAGGAGAGGGAAGTTTGGAATAAACAAGATCCTGAAGAGCGAGAAAAGGAGTACCTTCCAGCTAAGTTCGACTCGCTACGCAAGGTTCCAGGCTACGGCGAGTTTGTCAAGGAGCGATTCGATCGTTGCTTGGATCTCTACCTTGCACCACGAATTAGGAAGAACAGGCTCAACATCGATCCTAACTCTCTTCTGCCGAAGCTCCCTCGGCCGGAGGACCTCAAGCCTTTCCCCACTCTCAACCAGACGATCTTCCGTGGACATGATGGGCGGGTTCGTTCTGTGGCATTTAGCCCTGACGGTGAATTCATTGCCTCCGGTGGCGATGATGGCACTGTCCGCGTCTGGGCTTTGAACGGTCATCAGGAATGGATGGCTAAGCTCAGTAGCGAGGAGCCCGTCAACATGGTGCGATGGCGGCCCAACAAGGAGACCCTCATACTGGCAGCAGCAGCTGGAGAGGATCTGTTTTTCATGATCCCGTCAGTTTCTAGTGACGCCGTGGAGAAGGCGAGCCGTGAAGTCCTTGATGTTGGTTTCGGTTACGCCACCAACGGTGCACAGTCTAGTGCAATCAACGGCATAAAGAAAGAACCCCCAGCCAAGTGGTCGCGACCTGGCGCTAAGTTGGAGTCTGCCGGTGTGCTCCTTATGGCTACTGTTAGGTCGACGATCAAGGTCATCAACTGGCACAAGCGAGGTGAATATATCTGTACGGTTTCTCCAACCGGACAAAGAAGCTCAGTCGCCATCCATGCTATCTCTAAGCACCTGAGTCAACTACCCTTCAGAAAACTTCCTGGCCTTGCACAGACAGCCCAATTCCATCCGTCGAGGCCACTCTTTTTCGTCGCCACGCAGCGTATGATCCGATGCTACGATCTTCAGCGTGAAGAGCTTGTCAAGGTTGTTCAACCCGGTGCCCGATGGATCTCCTCTTTTGATGTGCACCCTGGTGGAGATAACCTTATTGTTGGGTCTTATGATCGAAGACTCTTATGGCATGATCTTGATCTATCCGCTCGTCCCTATAAGACGATGCGATTTCATCCCGAGGCTATCCGGGCTGTTAAATTTCACCGTAGTCTTCCTCTCTTTGCCGATGCTAGTGATGATGGCACACTTCAGATCTTCCACGGCAAGGTTGTCAGCGACCTCATGGAAAACGCTACAATTGTGCCTGTCAAGATGCTCCGAGGTCACAAAGTGATCAGCAAACTGGGTGTCTTGGACGTGGATTGGCACCCCAAACACCCGTGGTGCCTCAGTGCAGGTGCTGATGGAACATGCAGGCTGTGGACATAATTGTATGTTTGTAGCGGGGCTCCATTCTTAAACAATGTTGAACTATGGTCGCGGTAGGCTTTCTTCCAGCGATGGCGTTAGGACACAAAATAATATATCAGTTCCCACATTTAATTGGCAGTTCTGCACAACATTATCAGTTTTCGTTGTAGTAGTTATCTTATTGCTGATCAGTTACTGACAGTTAGACTAGAGATAACCGGGTTGTGATGTACCATTACAACTACGATACGGCCAATTCTCATAAATCGTGGCGCAGGAATACAAATGATGTGCGATTAATAGAGTAGGATTCGTAATACATAACTAATTGTCACAAACAAACGACTCGAAGTGCCAGGCACCGCGCTATTTTGCGGCGAAGCCATCACCGCCCAGCACCATGTCTTCCCACCCTTTCGTTGGGATAGCCAACTGCCAAACAATTCTTTCTTCATTGAGACAGCACGTGTTAAGCGTCACTGCGATAGTCTTTTGTCCCTAAAACGAACCTTACAGTTCCTCTCGAATTTTGGCCTTGGCCTCTGCCTCCGCCTCGGCAGCCTTCTGTTTCGCGACTTGCCCGCCGAGTTGGAGCTGGCTTGCAACCCAGTTGTAGGTGTCACGAGCAGTGTCTCCGAGCTTAGCGAAGAGTGTTCCGGATGGTGAGCTGGTACCATACTTGAAGTAGGTGGCTTGCTTTCGAGCCTCGGCTTTCAAATCTTCTAGCTTAGATCCCTGTGGGACTGGGACGCCATAACTGTCGAGGTAAGCCTTGAGGTCGGTCTCAGTCCACTCATCGAAGGCAGACTGCTTAGCAGAGTTGGTAGCGGAAGTAAGATAACTGGTGGCAGAAGCCCAGTTTGATCCGCCTGCCGATGAGGCGGAAGAGTAGGCGGACTGAGCAGCGTCGTAAAGTTCATCACGAGTGGCATCCTTCTTCTCGGCAACCTGCTTAGCAGCGGCATCTCCATTGCGCTCAAGGTACTTCTTCAAGTTATCGTAGCTAAAGTCATCAAATGTCCAAGCATTTCCACCATGGGCAGCGATATGTGCGTTCTTGCGGACAAGGGCTTCGAGCTCGTTCTTCTTTGAGCCCTGGGGAACTGGAACACCTCGAGCGTCCAGGTATGACTTGAGGCGGGTGTCAGACCAAGTGCTCAAAGCCTGGTTAAAGGCATCCCGAGCAGCGAGTGATGCACTGTCGGTAGCCTTTGCGTACTGGTTCTGAGCGTTGGAGGTGGCAGCACCGTAGGCAGAGGCAGCACTCGCAGAAAGGTTGTCGCCAAGGATATCAGCTCTGTTCTTGCGGACGAGGGCACGGAGTTCGTTGGCCTTGGTTCCCTGGGGAACAGCAATGCCATTCTTGTCACAAAACTCCTTGAGCTGCGATTCACTCCAGGCATCAATAATCATGTCGGTGAGGGTAGCATAGGCGCCTTGAGCACTGGCAGTCGCGCTGGCGGCCTGGTCCTGAGCCTTGAGGTACGCAAGACGAGAGTTGCGTCGAACGGAGGCGATGAGCTTGTCTCGGGTCATGGGCTGGGGAGCAGGGAAGCCGTGGGTGTCAAGCCACTCTTTGAGGTCAGATTCAGACCATGTCTCGTAGAGCCAGTTGCCAGGGTAAGATGAAGCCTGGTTAGCCTTCTTGGCAATAGCCTCATAGTTGGAGCGAGCCTTCTGGAGAAGAGTGTCACGCTGGCGAGGCTGGGGAGCTGCACACCATAAAAAGTAAGTATTAAGAAAACATAGAGCACAATGACGCATCATCAACTAGACTTACCAGGAATTCCATGCTTGTCGGCAAACGCCTTGAGCTGACTTTCGGTCCAAGTGTCAAGAATCCAGTCTTTGACGCTGAGCCAGGCGGAGTGGGCATTGTTTTCAGTCTCGTACCAGTTGGCCTTCACCTGTGACAGTAAACTGTCTTTGGAAGCAGAAGCTTCGTTCTTCGTCTCTTTGCCCTTGGACTGCAAGTAAGCACTCAGCTGGTTGGTGTCCCAGCTATTGTAGGGTGACACGACGTAAGCATCCCAGTTCTTCTCAATCAAGGACTCGAGATCCTTGCGATCGGCCGGGGTTGGGTAAGGAACATCGTGATCAGAAAGCCAACGTTCCAGCTCCGTTTCGTGCCACTTGTTGTATACTGTCTAGAGTTAGGTTGTAATTCTTCAAAATAATCCTAAGCTTACCTGGCTTCGATCCAGGGAACCACGTGCTGGCAGCGACACCGTTGATGGCCACAGCGGCCAGAATGGCGTTCGCAAATCTCATTTCGGCTTCAGACGAGGTATTGCCTGACAAGACAAGTCGAGTGGTGATGGAAGAAACGAGATAGATTAGGATGAGGTATCACAATAGAGATCAATCACCTCGACTGATGTAGCTGGTTTGAGTGTGAAGGGGAAAGAAAGCAGATGCGAAGCATGGGCGCGGTGAAGATAGGAAAAGGCAGCTCAGATGGCAAGCCACCGAAGGGGAAATCTATCACGTCACTGTGTGGTCGTCGTGGGTGGCTGGAATTTGGCCGTCTGCACAGGCAGGCAAGCAAGCAGGCAGACAGTCAGGTTGCAGTAGCTGGAGGCACATACAGGTACTGAATACTTACGCAACGGCTCAGCAATGCTTGGAAAACAAGCCAGGCATACAGAACAGTTCCACAGCGGTTTGTAGCACAATACTTGATCACTCGCTGTAAAAGGGGCACGTCGTCACTATCAGCATCATCATCATCATCCCATCGTTCATTTCGATGAGATTTACGCAAACAAGCCTTGGATGAGTCCCCCTCCACAAGCGCCACCATGACGTATCTTGTAGGCATGGCCCCGCACAAGCTCCTGTCCCAAATCGGCTTTGATGCGACATGACTAAGGTCGACTGCCAATCGGCACGTTCCGCTGCCAAACACTCCCACTATTAAGCTGTGCTAAACTGCCTGTTCGACTGAAGCACATGTTTAATTTCGACAGTGATTCAAAACATGACAGCTGTACGGCGATCTCGATTCACGCATGGAACAAAAGCTCCGCCGTGTTGCTTCAGTACGTCTGCGTCCCGGCTGTGCAATGTCAACTGTCGGGGCCTTCATAATTCCAATAAAACCCCTTTAACAAAAGTAAAATTCTTATCAAATCCTTTATTAGAGCCTTACTCTCTGCAGGTGTGATTGATGTATGTCAAAGTTGAATGGCTGCATAGCTTGCCAAAGTGAACATGAAGCATACAAGAAAGAAAAAAAAAAGAGGTGGGCATAGGCGGAGATAATGTTACATTGATCTATGAATGTCCCCGTCGCATCTAAACCCCAGCGCCCAGGTTTGTGTAACCTGTAACCCAATTCGTGATATCTACTACAATCACAACTAAGCATAGAAGTTGACAGTCTGTTTGACTTTGTTAGCAGGCCGCCGTTGCAAAACAACCCGAGAGCTTCAATACTTACGTCCTTCTTCTTGGCCTGAACCTCTGCAATGGCATCGACATAATGCTCGTGGCCAATCTTGTTCTTCCCAGATCGCAAAGCAATCATTCCAGCCTCTACGCACACAGCCTTCAGCATTGCACCTCCGAACTCGTCCGTGCTTCGTGCCAGTTCACCCCAGTTGACCCCAGGGTCGACTCTCATTTTGCGGGAATGAATCTTCAAAATCTGAGCACGAGCCTCCTCGTTAGGTAGAGGAAATTCGATCTTGCGGTCGAGTCGACCAGAACGGAGCAGCGCAGGATCAAGAACATCCACACGGTTTGTCGCAGCCAGCACCTTGATCCGATCATCCGAGGCAAAACCGTCAAGCTGGTTCAGTAGTTCCAGCATAGTTCGCTGCACTTCTCGATCACCGCTCTTTTCGCTGTCAAAACGTTTGGTACCAACGGCATCCAACTCATCAATGAAGATGATAGCGGGAGCTTTCTCCTTGGCCAGTGCAAAGCAATCTCGGACAAGCTTGGCACCGTCACCGATAAACATTTGGACTAGTTGAGGTCCTGCCAGCTTCAAGAACGTAGCATCTGTTTGGGCTGCACAGGCTCGTGCTAGTAGTGTTTTACCAGTACCAGGTGGCCCATACATGAGTGCACCTGGATGAGTTAGCTATGTGACCATATCTGAACGCCATACACAATGGACTCTACCTTTGGGGGCCTTGATGCCAATCTTCTTAAACCTTTCGGCTTCCTTCATCGGCCATACAATAGCCTCCACTAACTCTTCGATCTGCTTGTCTAGTCCACCAACATCAGTGTATTGTTCTGTCGGCTTCTCGTCAACTTCCATAGCCTTGACTCGGCTGTCGTATTCAGCGGGGAGTGTGTCAAGAATGAGATAGGAATCTTTGTTCACCCCAATGAGGTCACCAGGCTTCAGCGTGTCGGCGTCCACGAGACCAATCAAAGGGAGGAAGATTGTTTGGCGGGTCGATGTCTTGATAACAGCAGACTTTCCAACTCGGGTCGCGTCCAAGTCAATGTTGGCACCCTCCTCTGATGATTCGGCAGTTGGATCGAGATCGAGCAACTCAACAACGTTACCAACGAGGTATGGGAGTTGTCTGCAGACTACGATTAGCAACGACGCCAAGAATTGATGGTCTTGGGAAAACACACCTGTTATTGGCGATCTTGTCCAGATTTTCCTTTATCTTTTCGCCCATAGCAGCCTTCTCATGCGATAACCGAGAGAGCTCGCTCTTCATGATTCGGGAGTCGTTCTCAAGCAGACGCTTGCGAGTCTGAATGTCTTGTGTGCTAAGCCCGAGGATCTCTTCATCAAGGATATCATCATCCTCTTCTTCAGCATCTTTCATGTCGGCGTCGCCATCAGTATGCTTCTTCTGGTTCTTGTCGTCGCCTTCTCTCTTCTTGTCCTCCTTGTCTCGGCGGTCGAGATCATCGAGCTCCTCGAGAGTCGACATGATGGGAAGATGACGTTAATTAATTAATAAATAAGCAGGCTGCGTATGTAACAGGTCGTTGAGAGTGTTGGTGTTGTGCTGTAATTTTAATATCGTACTGTGGGTAGCAGATGGGAAGAGGTGAAAGCAATCAGTGCTTTAACAACATCAAAAGATGAAGCCGTAAGGTGGGTAGGCAGTCAGGTCGCGCGTAATCAGCCTCCTAGTTACCTATCCACCAGCAGTAAGGTTACAGATCTGTATTGGCTTCAATGGCCTTGTACCCTGCCGTGCCGGAGGTCGGGTATGTGTTGATCCGGTGCACGGACCGTCATCTTGAGTCCTGCAATTGGATTCAGTCTAATACGAGCGTGGGTGGAATTTTCGATATGGGCAGAGCCAGCAACAGGACATTCAGGTACGCTATGCACATTGAATCCTGGGTTTCAGTAACTTCTACTAACTAGTAAACGCTACAGTCACAAATAATGGCTTCCCGAATATCACGGGCTGTATCGCCCTGCCTTCGTCAATTTCGCAGGGAATCCCAATGTACCCAAACGACGTTGAGCACGGCATTTCGTAGCATCTCGACGTCGCCCAATTGCTCTGCTGCTGTGAGCGACATCCGAAAGCCAATCGATCAAGCACCTGCGACCAAACCCCCGAGCGCTCGTCCTGTCGAGACAAGAAAGAGCCAGTTGATCCGAACCTACACCTCACTACTCCGAACGACACCCCTGATCTTGTTCTTTCAGCACAGTAACTTAACAGCCGTCGAGTGGGCGGCGGTGCGACGAGAGTTAAAGAAGGCTCTCTCTTCAGTGCCTCAGCCGAATTCAATTCCAGGGAAAGAGTCTATTGACATTACCCCGTTGGTTCAGTTGCAGGTGGTGCGGACCAATATGCTACGCGTGGCCCTTAAACTCGTTGAATTCTACGACCCTGGGGCTGCCGCTGCATCCGATAAGACGACGCGAACAGCTCGAGGTCCCCTTGTCCACGATCTGTCCGCAGCCGCTTATGATGCTATCAAGAACGCCGAAGTGCCTGAAGACTCCAACTACGCTCAGATTGAACCAGTGATGGTTGGTCCTCTGGCTGCTTTAGTTCTTCCAGCGGTATCTCCAGCTCACGTTTCTGCGGCCTTGAGTGTTCTGGCACCTGTTCCGGGTAAATTCCCTGCTCCTTCGAGGAAGAAGAACCCCGGGTATCACGATCCTACTTGTCAAAGCGGCCTTGCGAAGCTGCTTCTTGTTGGTGGCCGTGTGGAAGGCAAGATCTTTGATCAGTCCGGCATCAACTGGGTTGGTGGTATCGAGGGTGGTTTGGATGGACTGCGTGCCCAATTGGTGGCTATGCTCCAAGGTGCAGGCTTAGGTATCACCAGCACACTGGAGGGTGGAAGTCGAAGCTTGTGGTTAGCCCTGGAGGGTCGAAAAGGTCAACTGGAAGACGAGGCCAAGGGCGACCAAAAGAATGGAGATCAAAACTAGAGTTGGATATTGACGACAACGATGTACAAACAAAAGACCAAACGAAGGTTGTGTATGTGTAGATGTACGAACAGCATATTGAATCATTCAAAAAGCTCGACATGATTATATCGGGAAAGCAGCAATCATCGGTCACGAAGTCTTGTGTTGTTGATCTTTCCATGAAAGGGGAGACTTTTCCCCCGAATATTTTCCCAAGCGAAAATGGGTAAGGATTTTGATAACTTAGTGTCCATTCGTACAATACAAAGAAGGATAAGGTCGTCAGACAAGTATTCTGCTCGGCTTAAAATGCTACACAGGTACATCAATAGAATGTCGTTCCACCAAGATCCTTGATCGTATTAATAGTACAGTAAATCCAGTTGGAAGATAAAGTGTGGCTGAATCGTGTGGCTGGAGCTATCAGAAACGCAGGCACATTTCCAGCACTGATGAAGCTCCAGCAACCTTGACCTTCTACCACACCCCGCCTCTAAACAGCTCCTTTGACACAGACCTCGTTTTATCTTAGATCCAGCACAACAGTCAAAGCCTCATCGCTAACAGTTAAATTGAACGACGTCAAGTGCTTCAACACGCTGTGCGGCAATCCACTGTTACAGCACTGTTTGTTCTTCGGGCTTTCGGATCGGTGACTCATTTGGACTCGATCATTTCACAATGATAGTTGTTGAAGCTTTCTGAACCATCGTAGCGCTCTCAAGACTGTCATCTGAACCATGGACTTCGCTCCTTATCAATCCTCTCCGCCGGAGCACTCACGGGTAACTTCACCTGACTATGCCTCACCACGACCTTCATACGATGCTCGACGATCGTTCTCTCCTGTCGCTTCTCCTCCCCCGCTGCAGCATCCGCAACCTCAACGAGGATGGGGCGGTTTCGATGGCGAGTCAGCTGGCTGGGCGGCAATAAGTCCCGACAACCGAGCTTTTGGAGCGTCGAGTACAATGCCTGTTGCGTTTCCTGCTGCAGAAGTCAGCGAATTCGATACAAGTCTTGGCATGCGTCTAGATTATGAGGCTTGTCTAGCATATGTCGCGTTCCCACCTCTAGGAGCGATTATACTTCTTATTCTGGAGAGAAATAGTGACTACGTGAGGTAGGGGTGACCCCCATGGCTGCATCTGGGGCTGGGAACATGTCTGTTGTGTGCAAATCTAACATTAATCAGGTTTCATGCATGGCAATCAGCACTGCTGTTCACAGCAATCATGGTCTTTCATCTCCTTTTTTCATGGTCAACATTTCTTAGCTGGCTTTTTTTCCTTTGCGACGTTGCTCTAATTGCAGTTCTTACGCTGAGGGCCTATAAAGACGCCGAAATACTTGACAGGTATGTTGTACGCCTTCGTCTTGCTCAGACTTGATTGTTAATATCTCCCAAGGTTTGAGGTACCTTTTTTCGGTGCCTTAGCCAGTCGGTTTCTTGATGATGAGTGAGCAATAACTTCGCGTCGCGGTCATACCCGCATTAGTCTGGTTTCACACACTGAGTCTTCTCGCAATACCCCTTTCCGGATGCTGGGCATATTCCACCCCTCGTATCATTAGATGTGCTCGTACTCAATCAGGACTTTTAGTGGTCCCAATGTTAGTAAGAAACGAACTTCAGATCGAGTCGTCGCTGTGCGCAAATGGATTGTATTTTCTTCTGTTTTTACGATACTTTAAGCGTCTTCATGACTAGGCGTCTAACATTTGAGCGCGCAAGTACCGATACTCTTGAAAATATTGCCCATGCCTGAAGAACCCATACCACAAATCTGCATCTCAAAATCTGCTCAAAACTGGCATCACTGTTCCTTTCACTGTCGGCTTCCCCGCAAACACAACCTCGCTAATCTTGGTCTCGGGAGAGCTACCCACTTCCAACCACCTGGCTAGGAGATCATTGCTCTCTTTAGGCTTCACCGTATTATCTCGGGTTCCGACTGTGATGTGTGCAACACGGTTCACACACTGCCACTGATCATCTTGATCTGCCAGACGAACAACAATGGCCATGATCCGATCGTCGAACACGACCTGTAACGAGTTAGCGACATCAAATTCATCGACTAGAGACCAGATATCTCACCCTTTCAAGCATTACTTCACATTCGCCGACCTGTCCTTCAGGGTTACCAGCAGCCTCTACCTCCTTGTGGAGAGCGCTGTATTTTCCCCAAAGCTCGGGATGATTGACGCTAGCAGCCTTGTGAATCAAGGTGACATGGAATTTTGACTGTACACGCCTTGTTTGCTTGAGTTGTGTATACAATCGAGAGGTTGACGACGGTGTGTCTTTGAACGCTTTATCGAGAGCGCTGTTAACATCTTGTGTTGGAATGCTGACGGACATGTACTCCATCTTCCTTTGTTTTGGCATCTTCGCATGTTGTTGTTGTTGCTGCTGGCTGTTCTTCTTACCCCGATCAGGTATATCATGTCTAAATTCTGGCTTGTGTCCGAGAGCATAATCAATGGCGGCATCAAGCGCCCCTGAAGATGGAATCTCCCCCACGAGGTTGGGGAACAGCTTGTGCAACTGCGTTACAACAACCTCGAGATTTTGTCGGCTACCAGCTGTAGGGTCAAGGTCTATGAACGCATCGAAGCCGTCGTCAGGTCGCCCATGTGGGTTGCAGGGTTCAAATCGATTGATGAACCCCTCCATCACACCAATGAATTTGTCTTTATCGCTTGCTGCATGAATCGTCTGGTGGTTATCTCCACGCTCAATGATTCGTTGCTGGGTAACTCGTCGGATCTCATCAATCGCTCCTTCGTCATGTTTGAAGTTAAGGCATACAAGTTTAACAGTAGAGTGCTGGAGCTTAGCATCCGTGATGATCTGCTTTCGCTCGTGTCTTTGCGCATTGTTTCGGTCTGCAACCACGGCAGGATGCTCTTTAAGCTCGTCCAATACCATCTTTGTAAACCGCGGAGGGCGGCCTTTGCCAGAAATGTTGTCATTCTGAACATGGCCCCAGCCAAAAAGCCGCGAGAGACCCATAGCAATTGTCGTCTTGCCACAACCAATAGTGGCGATAGGGCACAAGATCACATCACGAGTAACCTCCGTCATGGCCGGGCAATCTACATCTCCTAGGTTGGCCGCATCTGCTCCTTTCAGGTTCTTAAAATTCAAGAAGTCGTTGCGAAGAGCAATAATGCCGTGATTGCCGTTATACTCCTTCGCGAGCTTTGGGTCTGCGGCAAGTCGTCTCCGGGCGTAAAGAAGATACTCTTCCGTGATCTTGGTGTGTTTCTTGAACTTCGGCTGCTTGCCAGCAATAAGAGCTTTGGTGCACTCCCTCCACTGGCGGTACATCAGATATGGCTCCTCAAACTTGTACTTGAAAAACCAATCCTGAAAGGGCTGCGTCGCTGGATCGTGTGACATCTTGCAACGAATGACAAAGCCCTCAACATCCCGTCCATCGTGGGCCCCAGTTTCAGCTACTTCTTCGAGAAAGGTCTTGACCTGGCGGATATCTTCCATTACAATAAGACCAGTCTTTCGGAACGCCCATTCATCAGCAAACTCTTGGACATACTGACTTGGGTAAGTGGCAAACTGCGGCAAGTTGAGGTTGATGCCATGAAGATACAGGCCAGCTTGGTCAGGGCCATATTCCAAAATGTGCTCTTCAAATTGGTCATCGCAGAGCTCTGCAACCGCAGTGGCATTTCTCTTGCGAAGCTCTCGGGCGAGATCTGCCTTTGTCTTCCCAACAGCAGCCAGCTGCTGTTCCAGCCGTTGTTCTCCAGCACTTGCGTGACTGACCTGAATGTCGTCTCTGTCTCCTGTCGAATGCTTGCTGCAAACAACCAAGGTGTCGTCTTCCAGTCCAGCAATAAAGATGATACAACCGTTTTCTTTAAGGGTGAGTTCGTAAGGGCCTTGTGTTCGTGTGAATATGTTATCCCACTTGGTCTCGGGGACCTCATCGACGTTAAAGAACTTGTCATAGCCTCTCACAGCTATTTCTGGTTCGTTTCTTCGTGTCCTTGTAGTGAAGAGTCCACGAGCGTAGGTTGGCAGATTAGGCCGTTTGTAGTCCCAGTCTTGTAAGCGCCATGACTCGACTTGAATGCCATCAGCCGATCCCTTTACGTCGAAACTGGTCTTTTTGACCGAGAACCCGTTCTTTTTCTTGTCCTTTCGAGCATTATCCAGAGCACGTACGACAGCCGCTACGGCTTGCACGTCCTGTGGTGTATATGGCGCCGACATTTGTTCTGGCCTTGATGGGAAAGCTTGAGATAAATGTTGGTCTATGGCTGATCTGTTGAATAATGTGAGTCGAAAGCAAAGAGGATTGCGACAACAAAACATGAAGTGGTACCTTTGGCAAGTCTGGGAGTTTCTCTTTCGAGACGATTATGTCGAATCTACCGCTATATCATTATTGGCTAAGTAATCTTATGTAAAATTGGCATGAAGAGACTCACATTTTTCAAGACTTCAGAGATAAAAGGTTGAGTGACCAAACCCAGCGGGGTGTTATTGGCCTAAGGAAGAAGATAATGGGTTTCGAATACATGCACTGCAGTATCTGTCTATAAGGTGTTTGGATTAGCCAACGACCCCTTGAGGATGCCAACGAGTATACGCTGAAGCTTTTATATGAAGGTGCGAAGTTGATTCTGTGGATGCCGCTCACGAAGGCTGTGGTGGTTGGTGCGGGCCAGGAACAGCGAGAAAATTGCCTTGGTGCACCGCCTCAATAATGATTTAGAGCCTTGAAAATGAGTCAGACCGCAGACACAGAAAATGGTCACACGAGGCGTAATGAGCGTTGGTATTCAGCCCAGAAAACCGTAAGAACAAACAAGAGTTTCCTGAGTCATCTTTAAAGATCAGGCAGGAACGTTGTGGAGGGCATGGTGCCACCTTACCCTGGAGAGCTTACAAGTGGTTACCGCGCGTCACGCCGACTTCGATAGAATTCATGTCATAGAATTCACTACCGCAACGGACAATCAATAATTGTGTAAGTAGCTTCATTTATGGTATTAAAATGGATCCTCGAGTATCTGTAGCCGCATGATCTCCACTGAAAACAAAATCGAGCGTATGATCAATTCGTCTTCAGGGTTTTGTCAATGACAGATGTAAGTTCCACACTGAAACTACCCCGCCAAAAATATTCTAGCGACAACAACTTTGCATCTTGATTAAAGACATTAACGACCCAAAGAACTCGAACGCCAGTGGGCTAATTGGAGAATTGAATCGTACGAACATTGCTGCCGGTCGTCGACTACTGCACCTTCCATCCACCATGACAACTCCCAACCCGTTCCTTCTTGCAGCCGACAACAACCCCACGTTGCTGCCCCTCCTCAGGAAGAAGCCAGCACTGGCGTCATCGCAAGATGAACACGGCTATTCTCTAGTTCACGCCGCTGCCAGTTACAACCATCTTGATCTTCTGCGAACCCTTATACGCGAGTTTAGCGTGGATGTGGACCTAAAAGACGAAGACAACGAGACCGCTTTGTTTGTTGTCGAAACCCAGGATGCTGCTCAAGTTCTTGTCGAAGAACTTGGTGCGAACGTCGGTCACCGAGGGTTGGAAGGGTTGACAGCTAGAGAAAAAATTGAAGCGGAAGGTGACTTTCCTGCGGTTGCGCAATACCTATTGAAGATTGAAGCTAAGCAAGCCGACGATCCCGCTTCGACTGTAGCGGCTGTTATGCCTGAAGTTATCCCCCCGCCTCCAGAGGGTATGAAGGTTACAGTTGGTACGATGGATGAAGTGACGGATATTCCTGAAGAAATTGACCAAGATTTCCGAAGGAGAATTGAGGAGCTGGCCCAGCGCGACGATTTTAATTCACCTCAAGGCCAAGCTGAGCTACGAAGGTTGATTGAAGACGCTGTCCTAGGCGAGGGCGGCGTCGGTGACGAACGCAACGTACGATCAAAGCAGGACTAGTAATCCTATGCCTTTATCTCCCACATGAAGTACCTACCAGCTGCATTGGGTGGCCTGAGAATTGTGAGTTCATCACTTGTTCCTGGTACACCCTTTGAGAAGCATGTGGCGCCGAGAGAAAACCATGCCCCTGAAGGACAAGCGACCAACACATCCATGAGCAGACTATGGAGCCACCGTGTCGGCAAGAAACCTTCCCAAGTTATCCTGCAGACCGTAGATTCCTTAGCAGTATCGCCGGGGACGCAATACCGTGACAGATAGGGATCAATACTGTCCTGAGGTCCTACACGTGGACTGGTTAAGCGAATGAGCGAGAGCCACTCATACCTCTCCGTTGCAAAATACTCAAGAGCCTCACGGTTATTCTCTGCAAGAATCTCCGGGTCGACATCGAGACTAGGTTGGACAACCGCAAGATTTTGAGATGTGATGGGTGTTGAGGTGAAGGTCGTGGGAAAGAACTGCTGTAACGGGTCTGGGTTGGGAACTTCCAAGAGTCAGCAAAAGGTCGAAAACAAATGAAAAAGCCATGTTCGGGCCTCTTGTACCTACTTTGGGTCGTCTTGTCACAAAATAGCCATGTCATAGGTTGGTTGAAGACATTTTTACAGGCATAGATCAATCTATCGAAACCCTTCTTTCCCCGGAGCATCGATGGGTCTCTGAGGTTATATGTTATAGCTTGGTTGTTAGATCAATAAACGTTCAGGACAGTTGCCCTTTGTACTTACTCCAACGAGGTTTGGATCCTCTTCCACCCTTCGACCCATAAGGCTTTCCTGGAAGACCTGCGCGTTCATGTGTCTCTTTATCCACATACATTGTAAGAACGCCTAAATGGGGTCAATACTTGAACAAGTACAGGTTCCACCGTATATACCTTCACATAAAGTAATTAGAGTGCCGACAGTCGATTGTCCCTCTGAAAGCATGGCGATATCACCTGTCATCGGGTTTAAGCATTAGTCAACACCAGCAGCATGGACAACTAGGCGCACCCATTTTAATGTACTCTGTAAAGAAGTTACCTTGCAGGATATCTCCAAGAGACATTACCACCCTTGAATAGCGTGGAGGCCCCTCAGTCTTAGCAAGCTGTTCACTGACTGCATCGTGTACCTCTGCAGGTAGAATCAGATCGACCTGGCATTGTAAGTATGCACTCAATTTCAGCCACACACAAGCAATCCTAACCTTATGAATAAAATCAAGCGACGTAACTGCGGCCCACGGCTTGCCTTTACGAGGAGTTTGCTTGGCATCAACATGGCCCATCGTGCCGTGTGTCACGAAACATTTTGGTGATTGATAGACCGATGGCGCACCAGCAGGAAACATTTCGAAAGATCCAGGAAATGATAGAAAGAGGAAGAGAGGCAGAGAGAAAGCGGCGCCTTAGTGAAGGGGTTGTTGAAATGAGTCGCTGAATGGTGTAAGTCGGGAACGGACAGCGCTTGGGTGATACCAAGGAGCCGGTTTGGATTTTAGCCGGGGTTTTTTCGGTGAATTTTTTCACAAAATACCTTTGCTACTAAAGAGGAACTTTGCACTTCGCAATTTGCTATGACATAGAATTCACGCTTGGGGCAGGTTTCAGAACCTTTACCATTCTATTCGTGGAGACGCAATTCTGGAGATTATGCCTATGTGGTAGTAGTTCTGCTACAAAAAGTGGTTTCTCAACGAGGAAGTTTCAACAGTAGTTTGCCCGCATCCAACTTTGCATCTTTACCACAAAGCTGGCCAAGTCAGCTTCTTTTCAGACTTGACGACATTTCGAGACTCAAGATCTAACATGGAGTTCTTGATCAAATTCGCGCAGGCGCATGAGACCTTTCGAGTCCCCGAAATTGAGGCACTGGCCCTGATTGAGGGACTGGAAATGGAAATAGTTGACTATAGTCAAGATGTCTGTTATCCTACTCATTGCATGCTTGTCAGAGACTTACTAGAAATAGTCCCCCTTTTGTGTCGTACAACTGGCTTCAGTCGAAGCCGCTCAGCGCCTGGCCAAGAGATCCATCCTTATCCAGTCTATACATGAGCTCTGGGGAAAAGGAAGCACCCTGGAAGAACTTCACGAATCTGTCAGGACAAACACATCTCACATATGGGACAGTTATCTCGGAAAATCATTCAAGTTTGATGTTGATCCCTACCAAGGGACTCGCTCTGCGAAAAAGCGCATTGAACTCATTAACTCCTTCAGGTTTCTTGGATGGACTGGGCCTGTAAAAATGTCTAACCCCGACAACTTGTTCACCATATTCGAGATGTGGCCTTACGACAGTGTACCCCTAAACATTCCAGATCCCACGACCATGTATCTTGCCCGCCATGTTGGCAACTCCTCCCGGGACATTCTAGTTCGGTTTGACTTGAAGAAGAGAGGGTACATCTCAACAACAAGTATGGATTCGGAGCTCGCACTTGTCACGGCCAACATCGCCCTGGCTGCTCCTGGTAAGCTATTCTACGACCCATTCGTTGGAACAGGCTCCTTTCCCATTGCATGTGCTCACTTCGGCGCTCTTGCCTTTGGAAGTGATATTGATGGCCGTAGCATTCGTGGGGAGGGTGGAAAGAAGAGTCTCAAAGGGAATTTCGACCAATATGGCATAGGCTCTTGCTTAGGCGATGTATTCTCTGCCGACTTGACCAATACCCCCATTAGGCGGCATCGTAGGACATGGGACGGAATCGTTTGCGATCCGCCCTATGGTGTGCGCGAAGGATTGAGGGTGCTTGGTCTTCGCGATCCCGAAAAGACGCCATGGCTGATAGAGCAAGGCAAGCAACATGGAATGTTCGTTATACACTGGCCGATTATGCCGAATTTTACGCTGACCATGGTAGGAAACTAACCTACGTGCCACCCAAAAAGCCCTATAGTTTTATGGTAATGCTCGATGATATTCTCGACTTTGCAGCCAATACTCTCGTTGACGATGGACGCCTGTCGTTCTGGATGCCAACTGCCAACGATGAAAACCAGGAAATCTCAGTGCCCTCACATCCTTACATGGAGGTGGTTGTGGTCTGTACTCAACCCTTCAACAAGTGTGAGTTATTCTTGGAACATTGCTTTCTCACTTTACCCCTGCTGACATCTGCCAGGGTCAAGGAGACTCATCACTTATCGTCGAATTCCCGACTCACAGGTGTCAAAAGCAGCCCTCGAAACCTATGCAAACCGACAAAAGCTCAAATTGGAGGGGACATCAGCAGACGAGCTCAACCCATTTCGACGTGGATATTTCAAAAAGTTTGAGGCAGATGAATAAAACCTCATTCAAAAGACTTCGCTCTACTCCAATCAAAGATTTCCTCCAGATTCATATGTGAGAGGCTGTTCCAAAAAACAGATTCCAAACACTGTTGTGGCTCGCGATGGACTTTGTGCATGTTCGTCAAGTTGCCGTAATACCACATTCATAGTCCTCCCTATATCCACATCTATGTGTTGTAATAGTGCCAGAAACCCCTATGCCGTTACAGGAACGGTCTTGGTAAGTTGTCCATATACACGTGGCAATGTCACGCTCCCAATTTGTGCCATAGGCATTCCCAAAAATACAATGTGCTTAGCGGAACTCGGTTGCGGCAAAGCATCCTCGATCGGGAACATGCTTCAATTCCAGCTGTTGGAACCTATGGCCAGTTAATTGAGGAGTTAACAAGTAAGGGATATGACAGACTGACTTTTCGCTTTTAGAGTGAAAATATATGCCGCTTACTTCGCCTTTGACCTGATTGAAACAGATATAATAGAAACCCTCGAAACTGGCGCCAGATATTGTACGGACTCGGTGGTCTGGCACCAAAAAATGCTCTTTCCACCGCATAAAGATAGTTTCTCGTTGGGCGGCATCGCGAATGATAACGGGTCCCTTACGGGCTTGCTTCTGAAATGGACGAAAGGCTGTAAATTTGGCCCAGTGACTTAAGTCAACCTTGCTATTTGCGCCCCAGTTCTCGTGCTGGGTATAGAAGCTGTATTTGGAACCGATGATTTCTCCCTCGAAATATGTTGTAAGAGTGGGATGATCCTCAGTCAGGCCTTAGACGGTAGAGTCAGCTTTTTATTTGTACAAAATGATTTGTGCCTAGCACCAACCTTGAATCCGGAGATAGCCGCAAAGAAAAGACTCCCGCATATCGACATGTTTGATCTCGACTTGCACGTCGTAGACCTGGCGTTCTGACTGTTGTGTACCGTGGAACTTACTACCTGAACGAAGGTAGGAAGATGGAGCCGATGGAATAGTCTTCGTTTTGTCAGGAAATTGCATCATGCCAACAGAACCTTCGAGGTTGACTCACTCGTATACATGAGTAGTCAGGGCCCATGGATGGGGACCAGAGCTCATCTTCTTGCACATCACAATCAATACACTCTGACACCTGATTTGGTGATTCCCTTTGCCTGGATGATTCGCAAGGAGCTGGTTGAGGCTCACTAGCCCGCTGTGTACTGTCGGAAATATCTCGACCCAGCTGGCTGCCGGTTTCGACGTCCCTTCCCTTCGTTTCGGGCCTAGATTCTTCATGCAAAGGGGTTGTTACGGTAGTTGTGGCGGTTTGGGGGCGTGGGGACATGGTTGTAGATCTTGAAGATAGGTCGTTTGATGGGCGACCATCGTACATGATGGTATCGTCATTCGGGCACCCAGGTGCAGTTGGCGCGTTGACGGTGCCGGACTGGATACCAACATCATCAGCACGGGCTTGGTCTTCGTTGCGTGCTTGCCAGGCAGGGTGTGGTTGGCTTTGGACGTCGTCAGGACATGTTGAGAAACTATAGGAACGCGGTGAAGGTGCCTCGACAGGCTGGTTCGATGATGGCGTTGGCATTGTATGTGGCGTGTGATGGAGTACAGTACAATTTAGCAGCGAGTGTATCGACGCAGTGTTGGTAACAGTCTGGAGCACGAATAAAACCAAATCGAGGGTATCAAGTCGGCCTGGTGGACGATGCAAGTTGAAAGTCCTGTCCTGGCGTGGAGCGCTATTCGATGCCAAAGGGGAGAAGCAAGTTAGTGTTAATCATCAAACGGGTGGCGATCTCGGGGACTAGAGAGTTTGGTATTGCTGATAAAGCTCTTTCTCAAGGACCATATGACAAAGAGATAGGGTAACAAGCAGTAGATACAGTAGTAATACAAGAAAGTCTCAGGTTATAAGAGAAAAATATGAGGAAGCAAGCCAGTAATGTAGGTAGGTATGCCAGATCGCGAATGGGACGATGGCAAAGAAATGGGGATCAAGTCGGTCGGTGATGCTGGCCGCCCTGGCTGGCATAGGCTAGTATCCCGTTCTCTTGTTCTGGGGTTGTAGCGGATATGTGGGGGGCTTCAACCTCCACTCGGCAAGACGGAAAGCCTTCCAATTTTTAGTCCACATTAGATCATGGCACGCTACCTACATCCTGGTCTGTATCTATATCGTGCCTTTGTAGGTGTTGTGTGTTGGACTGATGGCTGTATGGTAGATGCCGTGTAACATTGACTCGGGAACATTGGAGGGTGGCTTGAAAGAAGATTGCCATTGTAAATGGTGGAAGCACCCGGGAGACCTAGACTTAATATGTTCCGACTGCCTCCAATGGGTGAAGTTGAACAGACGACATCAACTAAATCAGAGACCTAGGTAAGAAACTAAATGTAGCACTATGTTCAATTTAGGTATTCATCACAGTCCGATGTCAACCATAGCCATACTTGAATCTCATATATGAAAGTAACTTCGTATTCGGCAATTTGTAGTAACATGAGGCACACCTAGACTATACATTGAGCTCCTTTCTCCATAACCCTTCTTTTCATCTTTGAGGCTGGACTAGGGATCAGTTCCATCTGAGCGGGCCAGGCTGAACCTTAACAAGACTACCACAACAAAAGAAAGCGAAAGTTTGACAAAACGATCTGCCGGCGATGGGATTGTACTAACTATACTGAGAGCATGGGCTGTTTCGTTTATCGTGGAAGTAATTCACCATGTTCTTTCCCCGGACCTTTAATTCTTCATCGGGATCAGATGCTTTTTCTTTTTTGTCGCATCAAGATTCGTCGGGCTGCTTCCGCGCTGTGTGCCCCAGGGATACAGTACCGGCATCGGGCAGCCCCAACATTCCCCACTGTACCTATTGCAGCAGGTGCATTTCGTATGGGGTGATGGGCCTCGTGGAGGTCGTAACAAGCCTCAACATACTACTTACTATACTACAATACTATTCGCTATGACTTACTGGCATGATTGACATCCAATTTGTTGCAACACCAGAAAATGTTTTTGTTATGGCGACTGCACCTAGCATGATGTTCTTGGCCGGATGCCTAGTAACTTAACAGCACGCATCAGAGAAGGCTGTTTATCGGTCGTTTCCAACCTGCTGCCTCAGCTATTGTGTGCAAAACTTTCTGTTTGGTTCCAAGATTGCCACTCGCTCGACCTAACGTGGGCCTATCACAGGGATCAAACATTGCTGGAGCTGCACGGAATTGTATAATTATAGCTAGACACGAAATATGGCATAATCCTACACTACGTTGTCAACCATAATTGAGGGTTGCGCAACGCTGTCAAATTGTCTCCCCATACTATCCGGTCTCTCAGGTTCTTTTCGGAGATTCTTCACCTGCGGTATCTGACTTAGAGTTCTCCTTCGTTATTGCATGGAACATAAAAGACGATGGAGTTTCCTTCTGAGATATTCATTGTTATGGTATCGTTCCCTTTTGCAAGTACGCTTCCTTATTTCGTAATATGTAGAGTACACGCTCAGTGTTGGGGATAGCGTTCCGCGCCACTCTTTGACAGCTGGGTATCGTTCATAAACACCAGGTGCGTCATTATCGCCATTATCAGTCTTGCTGCTGTGTGCCTGACCGTTTCGAGCAGGCAATGCCACGACTCATTTCTTGTTGCCTTGTCGTTTAGATAGGCTTGATCTTGAAGTGCAACGCGATGAGACTGAAAACCAGGGCCTTCAAATCCTGGACGAGGTAGTAAAATACTCGCAACCCTTCGGGATCAGCGGACTCTGTGACATCGACTAGGGATCCAATCTTGGCGGTCTACTCTGTTGTTAATAGTGCCCTCTAGAAGACCACTGCCTCGAAACTGACCTCAAACGCAATGTGATCGTTACCAATGCGGATTTCCAGCTCCTGGCGTCCGTCTTTGTTTTTCTGCGGCCATTTTGAATCATCTTCTCTGTTTATAGTCAGGGTCGCTCAATGAAGGTTCCAGCGCAACAGGACTGACATACTTCGTGATTTCGCTTGTTTTGATAATGCGCTTGATTTCATCGACGATAACGGAGCTTACACACACTAAAACTTTGTTAGAAAAAAGGCGTTGTACGGGTTTGAGGGTGATACTGACTCTCTTTTCGAATCAAGCTATCGTTTCGGTAATTGGAGTTGTTGGCGTATCTGGCTACCGCGCTACGACCGTCTCCAACAACCCGGAAGTCGAACTCTGATCACCATTCCATCAAAACCAATATCTTCAGAAGCTCAATCTCGAGGTTATTCGTACCTAAGAATTCGTGACCAAAACGGCCCATGTGGCCAGAGCTGTTTGTAGAGACTTCATTAGCATCGCTCGCAGAAGTGTTTGAGCTAGCGTAAGTACGTACTAGTACCGCAGATAAAATGGTTCGTTTGACGACGACATAGCTGCGTATGTGAGGGATAGTGTCGGAAGCGTTGACTTTTTGTGGTCGAGAAATAAATCCAACAATCAGGATCGCAAGGCTGAGAAAGAGTCCAGGTGGGACCTGTTAGTTCAAGGTGTAGGAAGTAGGTATGTATATGTGCACGGACCCATTGGATTGGCGGGGCAGACAGCTTTACCTGCCACCTACTAACTAAGGTATACCTCCTACACCACTCTGCTGGTATAGGTGCCTTTCCAGTCAATACCAAATCGTTAACGCTCTGTATGGAAGTTTGATCATCTGTCCCAGCCTTGAATATTGGATCAAAACTATTCCTTAATTACCTAGAAAGATCAATTTCCATGAGCCTTTCCTAGAATACCTACCCAGACCGAGGACATCAAGAAAGCATGACCAATTGGCTCAAGGCTCGAAGCTTCTGATGGATTCAAGTACATCCCTGGTGAAATCACGTGACCACATGCCTCCCATCTAGTCGGCTTAGTGCCACCTGTTCTACATCGCTGGCAGGACAGATCTTCTTGAAGTCGACGCTGTCCAAAGTTGGTCAAACTACCACAGGGGATTCTAGCAAAATACTGACGGCGATTGCGCGCTGGAACAACTCAACGAATGGCCCAAGCGTATCTTGTTATTTATCCCGACAATTGAAACTTGAGAGCAACCTGAACCCCTGAGCTGAGCCTCCCCACCGCCGAAGTCGACACCACCTATACTGGTACCTCCAATCCACCTCCCACTGTCCCCCTAAGAGCCACGTCCCATCTACAACAAACACATCCAGCAACTTTCTCGGCCAGGTTCTGGCGACACCCTTCAAGATGTCTGGCTTTCTTGAGAATGCGTACAGTTTAGTTCACCAGGACAATGCGGCCGATGTCCCCACCGTTTCCGACCTACGCATGCAGTTGGAGAAAGGCACCGACGAGAGCAAGGTTGAGACCATGAAGCGCATCTTGACCATCATGCTCAATGGCGATCCTATGCCCAGTTTGCTAATGCACATCATCCGTTTTGTCATGCCTTCAAAGTACAAGCCTCTCAAGAAGCTCCTCTACTTTTACTATGAGATCTGCCCCAAGCTTGACAGCAGCGGCAAGCTTAAGCAAGAAATGATTCTGGTTTGGTATGACTACGCCCTCCTTTGCCTATACTGATAGCCTCGACAGTGGCTGCCACCGAATATCACTGACAGCAACTTCGTAGTAACGGTATCCGAAACGATCTCCAACATCCCAATGAATACATCCGAGGAAACACTCTTCGCTTCCTTTGCAAGCTGAGGGAAGCTGAGCTTATTGAGCCCCTCCTCTCTTCGGCGAGATCTTGCCTTGAACACAGACATGCTTATGTCCGAAAGAATGCTGTCTTCGCCATCTCCTCTATTTACACACACTCGCCTTCTCTGATCCCCGACGCTTCAGAACTTATTTCCACCTTCCTCGAGGGAGAGAGTGACGGTGTCTGCCGACGGAATGGCTTTGCCGCCCTTGCTAGTATCGACCATGATGCTGCCCTGCTGTATCTAAGTTCTGTTTTCGAAGGAATCCCCAACGCAGAAGAGCTTCTTCAACTTGTCGAACTCGAGTTCATTCGAAAGGATGCTGTCCAGAACTCACAGAACAAGGTTGGTGGGGTATTTGCCTATAGGAGTACAACCACTAACTACTACAACAGGCTCGGTACTTGAGATTGATTTTTGACCTGTTGGAAGCCGGCGCCTCGACTGTCGTATACGAAGCCGCCTCGTCCCTAACCGCCCTTACGAACAACCCGGTTGCTGTGAAGGCCGCCGCCGCCAAGTTCATCGAGTTGAGCATCAAGGAGGCAGACAACAATGTTAAGCTTATCGTACTTGATCGGGTTGACCAATTGCGGAAGAAGAACGAAGGTGTCCTTGATGACCTTACCATGGAGATCCTCCGAGTTCTGTCCAGTACCGATATCGACGTTCGAAGAAAGGCTCTCGGCCTTGCCCTTGAGATGGTGACTAGCAAGAATGTCGAAGAGGTTGTTCTCCTGCTCAAGAAGGAGCTCTCCAAGACCGTCGATCAAGAATACGAGAAGAACACCGAATATCGATCACTCCTCATCCACTCGATTCATCAGTGCGCCATCAAGTTCTCCGAAGTTGCTGCAAGCGTCGTCGAACTTCTCATGGATTTCATCGCCGACTTTAATAACGTTTCGGCTGTCGATGTCATCAACTTTGTGAAAGAGGTGGTCGAGAAATTCCCAAACCTGCGAACTACTATTATCGAGCGTCTTGTCTCTACGTTGGGTGAGGTCCGAGCTGGCAAGGTCTATCGGGGCATCATGTGGATCATTGGTGAATACTCCCTTGAAGAAAAGGATATCCGAGAGGCTTGGAAGAGGATACGCGCGAGCCTAGGCGAAATGCCAATTCTCGCCTCTGAGCAACGGCTCCTTGATTCCCACGACGGCGATGAGAAGACTGAGGATCATATCAATGGCACATCAAAGCCAGCTGCACCATCTGGTTCACGCAAGGTTCTTGCCGATGGCACCTATGCTACTGAGACTGCTCTTACCAGTCAATCCTCAGCTGCCGCTAGGTTGGAGGCTGTTAAAACTGCACAAAAGCCCCCTCTGCGTCAACTCATCCTCGATGGGGACTACTATTTGGCGACTGTCCTGTCGTCCACCCTGGTCAAGCTTGTCATGCGACACCATGAGATTTCTTCCGACAAGGCTCGCACCAACGCACTCCGGGCTGAGGCTATGCTCATCATGATATCCATTATCCGTGTTGGCCAGTCTCAATTTGTCAAGGCCCCCATTGACGAGGATTCTGTAGATCGAATCATGTCCTGCGTGCGCTCTTTGGCCGAGTTTGAAGAGAAAAAGGAACTTGAGACTGTCTGGTTGGATGACACCCGAAAGGCTTTCCGGGCAATGGTCCAGGTCGAGGAGAAGAAGCGAGCCGCCAAGGAAGCTTTTGAGAAGGCAAAGACAGCTGTGCAGGTTGATGATGTTGTCCCCATTCGACAGCTCGCCAAGAAAAACACTACTGACGGTCTCGATGAGATTGAGGTGGATTTGGAGAGGGCAACAGGTGGTGAGGGCACCGCTGAGGATCTCTCTTCCAAGCTTAGCCGTGTGGTCCAGTTGACTGGTTTCTCTGACCCCGTCTATGCCGAAGCATATGTCAAGGTCCACCAGTTCGATATCGTTCTTGACGTCCTTCTCGTCAATCAGACCACCGAAACCCTGCAGAACCTTTCAGTTGAGTTTGCCACCCTTGGTGACTTGAAGGTGGTCGAGAGACCTACCACACAAAACCTAGGTCCTCATGACTTCCATAACGTCCAATGCACAATCAAGGTCTCATCAACAGATACCGGTGTCATCTTTGGTAACGTTGTCTATGACGGTGCTCACTCCACCGACACCAATGTTGTTATTCTCAATGACCTGCATGTCGACATTATGGATTACATACAGCCTGCCACTTGCACTGAGACCCAGTTCCGCACCATGTGGACTGAGTTTGAATGGGAGAATAAGGTCAACATCAATTCCAAGGCCAAGACACTCCGCGACTTCCTTGATCAGTTAATGGCTTGCACAAATATGAACTGCCTGACACCAGAGGCTAGCCTTAAGGGCGACTGCCAGTTCCTGAGTGCCAACTTGTACGCAAGAAGCGTTTTTGGTAAGTTGAATTTATTCAAGTACGCGCCGCACTTTGCTAACCAGTAAACTAGGCGAGGATGCTCTCGCCAACCTGAGCATTGAGAAGGAGGGTGAGGATGGACCTATTACTGGGTTTGTAAGAATAAGGAGTCGATCACAAGGCCTGGCCCTGAGCCTGGGCTCGTTGAAGGGTCTCAATAAGATTGGCTCAACGTCTTAGACCGACTGGTCATACGTAAAGGTACCTGAATCCGATTGCACGAAAGCAGGCTGCCGAAGCATTTCAAGATTCATGACGATGATAGGGGCGGAGTCAGGGGCGGAGCACGTTAATGGGTGTTTTCCCACCAAAAGGCTATGCGATGGGTCCCTGGTAGAGTTCATTGTAAGCAGGTTTAAGTAGATGTTGATTATAAAGGCACATGGTTTCAAAAAAAAACAAAAAAAAAAAAAAGACACTTATTAAGATATAGGTCATCCATAGGAATGGCAGGTTGTCTTCTCGTTTTGAATGGCAATGAAAAGTAAAATTATTATGAATGTTGTCATGCACGTTGGGTGTGTCATTCGATCTATCGACACCATACATGCGTTGAGTGGGACAACGTCTATGATGCCCAAAATAGATATCGACACATTAGACAACATAGTAATACAAATTGCTAAAAACAAACCGCTGGACCGTTATCCTCCGACTCCAATAGAAATACATGTAGTAGATAGGATAAGCAAGATGAGGGTATTGTCCAAATATAGTCGGTATTGATAAATGAATGAGAGCAGGGTAGCCATGAGGGGGCGTATGATAAGGTGGGTAATTAATATATTGGCTGCGAAGAGTGTTCATGACGGACGGATGTCGAGCTTAAGAATTAACATGGTCGTGTGAGAGACGGTTAGGCACAATAACTAAACAACGTCAAAGACAAGAGCATTCACGACATGCCCTGTCTTCCAGTTTTGAGCGGATAGAGACAGGTTGTCCTTGAGGATCTTGCCCATGTATGCTATCCTGATCTTCTTTGTAGAAGCAAGCTGAGAAGCACGTTAACATTCTACTCATTTACACCCTACCGAACGAGGAAATGGTTAGGGTAGGAGTACTCACATTAGCCTCAAGGGCAATCTTTTTGGCTACGTTTCGTACGGTTTCCGACTCCGATATGTTGACATTAATGTCCTGCCCATTTTCACTGAGCCTAGCTCGTAACTTGACCAGTTTGTGCACCTCATCTGTCTCCTTGCCCTTTTCTTGTTTTTTGCCATCAAGCTCGTTGTCGCTTAATTCTTCGTCGGCTGCTGTGTCGTCGTCCACGGCGGAAATGTCGCCTTTAGCACGGGTTTCCCGATCCTCCCCAATGTTCTGCGGGTCGGAAACAGCCCATTCAGGTAGTTGATAATAGTTTCCAAGAGCATCATACACGCCGTTGGCGAGGTCGCCGGTAGGTAACGAAATCTCAGCGGCCGAGAGAATCATTTGAGCTGTCGCAAGCCCATTTGATCCATCGTCCTGAGCGTCTTGACTTGTGGGGTCCCATAGAACCTGCAGCGCTGCATGAATAGTCTGCCATATCTCGGGTCGCCCAGTGACTCGTGTATCGAAGAATGCGGCTCGTTCCTTTGCCAATTCGCTCTTGGTCCAGGTCCGATTGAGAGAAGTCCATTCGTGTCGCCGCAAGGGCTTGTCGATATGCTGGTCCAAGGGACGGTCGTTGCGACGACGCTGACGATGTCTTTCGGCAGGGATTTGTGGTTGAGCGGCTTCAGGGAGGGACAGCGGGGGAGGATTGATAGCACGCGATGAAGCATTGGGTGCGCCACCCGGGTAAGGTGAGTTGGGCCCCGAAGAACGAGAAAGACAGCAACCCTAGCATTGTAAGTTAGAGATGGTGGAATTCTGGCGGGTGATTTGGAGAAGGGCTGTACCATTCTGGCTACAGTGAGGTAGTCTATGAGGGCGGCGGCGATCGGCGTTGAGCTTGTGGATTGAACGGTTGAGTAAAGGAATGATGATCCCAACTTTAGCGACTAGCCATCATTGGTAGGGTTGGCCAGAGAGTCACAATTGATCGCGAGTAAGGGGAATAGGAACAATAAGTAAGATGCCGAAAAGAGGAGATTTAGAGGAGGAGGAGAAGAAGAAGAACGGCGCGGCGCACGCAGGCAAGAGGCGCAGGAGCAGTAGAAGCAAAGGCAGAACAAGAGGAGATAATGAATCAAGCAAGACGGGAGCCGAGCTTCGGTCTGATCCTGTCTGGCCTGGAGTCGCCGAACCTAAGTACCTAGTATTGACGCTTTTCCAACAGGTCACAACCAGGGGAGGCAATACAAAAGCGGGACTCGGTTAGTTAAGTTCTTAGAGCTTAAAATAGGTAGGTACATGAAGGGTCCTAAACTATCGAGATAGTAATTAAATCGATCTTCATCGGCTTTATTAGTGGAAAGCTCAGCAAGCGTCCCAGGCATTGATTAACGACACACACACACACACAGATATATATATATATATATGTATACAACGAGACGGCCCTTTGATTGCGCAAAAGAGACGGTTAATCTATGAGGCGGTGCAAAGTGACAAAGACTAAGAGTTCATGATGCATCACTGTAAGAGTGGCAGTCAAAGAACGGGGGAAACGCAGCCTTTCATGTAGAATGATGCAGACGCTGAGTGTATGTAGCGTTGTCGACGCGATCCCACACTAATTCCATTGGCCCAGCCATGGAAGGTAAAAGCGATTATAGTAACTAAAGGGACAGTTGATGGTTGTCCCTGTTGCATCTTGCTGGGGTCGTATTGTCAAATGTTGGTCATTGTTGGTGGGGTTTGTGGAAGCAATATGCATAGGTACTTACTTACCTACCGCGGATTAACAAGCAATTATGTTCTTAAAGATTCTCCAGAGGCAATGAATCTGTACTGAACATCGGCAAGCACAATGATTGATTCACGGTTCTCCCTACCTCCCCAGCGACTCAATCAGTTAAAGATACTACTTTAATAGGTGCCAACCTTCGCCCACAGGGTAATGACCAATCAGAAATCGACATATGCCCAGCTAGCACCCACCAAGTCCGCTATTTTCAGTGCCTCACCTTGAGCTTGACCGTCCATGCTTCCAATATCGACAGCCTTCTGTAACCGATCCAGCTTGAGTGTATCTGATTTAAATCGTGCCGTATAGTGGGTAGCTATCACCTGGAATCGTTGGCTGGAACCAATTTGACCCTTTATTTTTCCCAAGTCATCCGAGCAACAAATCATTCTCTTCATAATCGCTCTCCTTAGTAGTTTACCACTAAAGAAATATGTCCAGAATGCAAAAGGCAACGGAACGTCATTTTTATTATCACGGCAAAGAGGTACGCTCTTACAGGCCTTTGTTTCATGCGCACTGATTGATTTTGAAATCAGGTTTACCAAGAAGAATGCGACAACTGTCACTGGTGTCAAATACGCTCTTTTCCTACCCACTCGACTCTACCAGTTACGGTAGTTAACGACCAGGACTCTGAGGTTCTTCCCGATGACTTTCGCTTCATAAAAAATGTGGTACTTGGTGATGGAGTTAAACAAGCTGAGGATAGCTTCCACAGCGGCTGCTCCTGTGATAACGACGCCGAATGCCAGTTCACAGGCTGTCATTGCCTGGCTGATCTAGATGAAGAAGACTCCAGGCAAGATGAAGATGATCCCTTTGGGGATATCATCGACGGCATGGATGTTGACCGGCCGCGCAGGAAAGCGTATGCCTACCACGCCCATGGCGCAAAAGCTGGCCTCTTGCGATCCAAGTTCTACAACTCAAAAATGCCTATATACGAGTGTCACCAGAGCTGTGCCTGTAGTATAAACTGCCCCAACCGCGTTGTCGAGCGTGGCAGGACCATACCTTTGGAAATCTTTCGCACTGAAGATCGAGGATGGGGTAAGCGTATACTCTCGCCAAGAACATATGTGCCGTTCAGTTTACTGATTTTATCTTTTGTAGGAGTAAGATCACCTGTACCTATCAAGAAGGGACAGTTTGTTGATCGGTATCTGGGTGAGATCATCACATCAACGGAAGCAGACCTCCGTCGCAGTCAGTCTGCCATCTCGCAGCGTAAGGATGTTTACCTTTTCGCGCTGGATAAATTCACCGATCCAGACTCGCTCGACACCCGGCTCAAAGGGCCTTCTCTCGAAGTTGACGGCGAATTCATGTCTGGCCCAACGCGCTTTGTCAACCACTCTTGCGAGCCCAACATGCGAATCTTTGCACGCGTGGGCGATCATGCTGATAAACATATACATGATCTTGCCTTGTTCGCGATCAAGGATATACCGAAAGGGGAGGAGCTTACATTTGACTATGTTGATGGGGTTTCGCATGAGGGAGAGGAGCCGGGAGAGAAAAGCCACATGACACCGTGTCTGTGTGGGAGCAAGAATTGTAGAAAGTTTCTATGGTAATAAATTCGTAAAAGGGGGTGTAAAGAATTGGTCCTTTGTGGCAGAGGTATCTGTGTGGCTCAAACAAGGTACCATGTCACCCTTTGAGCTATGTGTAGGAATTGTGTGTCATGTTGATTGCTATATTAATTGCTAAAGTGACATCTGTTTCTTTGGAGTCGACAAAGCTCGTAATGAAAGAAACATTTGATCGTTTCCTCAAGTGTTCTTTGAGTATACCCAGTAGCACAAAGCGTACATAAAACGAAGGCAATCTAGACCTTTCTTCTTTACTTCTTGTGTTCAGGTATAAGCAGCGTGTCCAGAACAGTTTTTGGGGAATCACACCTTTATAAATAATATTCCACCTTCCAAGAGGACTGGTGGTTCCTCACTATGGCCATCAACTTCAACCCTCGAATTCTACATCATGGGAAACACCGATAGTACTTTGAACTCAGGTCATTCTGAGACTTCCCTTTATGACGATCGCGTTACTGCACAAGGGTATCGCACGTTGCGACGCTCTCAGCTTATCCGCAGAGCCCTGATCCTTCGCCAAGTTTCTCAGGGGAGAGCGAACCCGTCAGAGGTCTGGTGCAACGACAAGAACTGTGACGAGGAGCTCGGAATATTTTCAAATCCAGTCCTACATTTGACCGACTTGCCAAAAAGCCGCGAGGGGCTTCCCGTGTCGGTGTACTCTAAAGACTTCGCCGATGCGGTGATCGTGAAATTCTTCGACATCCAGGACATCAACGCAAAGGAACACAAAGTTCGAGGCCTCTTATCCTTTATAGATTCACCACCCGTGCGAACTGCGTTTTGGCACTTCATTGCAGAATACAATCAACGCATGTACCGACTCTCTGATGAGGACTTCCATAAGGCTCTCGTGAAAGCTCAACCGGTCTTTCTGGACATCATGTTCGGCATCAAAACAGCGGCAAGGGCTCAGCTGGCTCACAGCTATATCCGTCCCGAACCCGAGGTTAAAGACAAATGGGATCTTCAGCAGTTGATTTTGCGTTTTCTTGTATGCTCTGAAATGTGGCGTCAGCAAAAGACTCCGCGCTCAGAGAATTGGAAGATTGGTTCTCGTGAAGGGGTGGGACATTTCATGACAGCCATGCTGTTTCACTACAAATTGATGTGGCAACAGAACTGTTTCGATACTGGTTTCATACGTACAAACCACGTGTGGGATCGTGTATGGGATCTTTGGTTACACAAGTATCCTCTTGGGGACCCTGACGAAGTTATCGATGGTGATGTCTTTCAGTTGCGGGATCATATTGAGAATACGGAGCAGGAGGTTCTCGACGACGTGGGATATCTGGGTGGCATTGGACAAAACAACGAGACTTATAACCCCGTACAGTGGTACCTGGGCAAGGGAGAGTATTTGGTGAAGTGACGGAAGGGTTCTCATTGAAGAGTCCATCATGGACGGTAGTTTGATCGTTTTCTTTTTCTTAAGTACTGAACATTGGCAATCCTCCGTGATAGTGTGACATCTCTTGCTAGCGATTGGCGAATCGTTCCAGGTTTAGAAAAGATGTCAGTCTAGGACCTGACCTTTTAATAAGTATGTGATGAGCGTAATTCTCAGACTGCACAGCAAGACAATGTTCGACCCCGATAGTAAGTCATTTCGGAGATGTCTTAATCTAAAGACAAACACAGTCACATGTCCCGATGGCAACGACTAAAAAAAAACATACAACAGCGGGGATTCGCTGGTCGTCACCGACCCAACTACTAATCCGCCGGTTAGTGGCTTGACTATGGGAGAGCGGACGGGATCCCGTATTTTCCACTACCTTTGGTCGTATGTACTGATGCAGAGCTGTTAGGATAACTATAAACGACAGTTTTCCAATCCTAGCAGACTTGCAGTCTATAGTTGATCGCTTCCTTAACTCTGTGCACCTAGACTGTTTAATCAAGGATATCTCCTCAGTATCGGCAAGATACAAATGATCATCAGCTTTGTTAATAGACTTCGAATCATGCTGCTGCTCGTTTTGGGATACAGCGCTGGAAATCACTGCGCAGTAACAGGGCCGTCTTTACCTCATCGTTGTTCGGAATGGCTAGTGGACTCGATATATGTACATCATCTGCCGGTCCGGATCCGCGCCCCGAAGACCCTGGCTTCAAACGGTGATGCTTTGAAAGTGGTCCTGGACATTGTGAGACCAGTTTTTCTACCGGTGGCATAAAAAATAGGCCGAGAACGGACATTTTACTTGAAACAAGCCTGATCAAGACTGAGATACAACATGAATATGGACGAGGTTGATTGGCAATGTCTGTTACTGGTGCAAAGTGATGCCTGAAAGATTCCTGATATACAGGACAGAACAAACTCTTGGTCTTGTCTATGTAGATTAAACTACATAGTATGCTGTTGCAGCCAAGAAGACCTATCTAGGTCTTGAGATTTCTGTGGAGCTCGGTATTTAGTACTAAATAGATAAGGTCGTGGAGCTTATATCCTGGAATTCTCCATAACTACTACAGAGCCGATTGAGGTTCGAGACGGCTGTTGAACAAAGTACGTTTTATTGCCTGTAACATCATAGATAAATGAGAATATAGCACAAGGGCAAGCAGGCAATCTTTCCTTCGTGATGAGCTTGTTTTCATTGGCCTTGTATTATAGCGGTCAAAGCAACGGGACGTGTCGATGAGAAACAGAAAGGGAAGCAGATCATTAAGGGGGTACAAGTCTAATGATTGGCGGGCTGATCTTCTTCCCCTTCGTGAAAACAGTTAAGTGTTGACTGTGTAGGGCGTGTGAGGAAAGTTCAAACACCACAATATTACACTTTTTACTCAAAAGGATAGGTCGAGCTCGTCCGAGACACGACTGTTGCAACATATATTATTGACCATAGGTATAGTAGAATGCGGGGGGGACGGAAAGCCGCTGAAAGGGCTGTAAAAGACAATGCAACAAAGTGTTTGCGAGACAAGATATCTATATTTACTTGGTACTTTCTCAGCTACAGCAGTTATAGTCGGATAGGTGATTGGGTAGTGGTGTCACAAGAGTCGGAGCTTTCCTAGTTGTAGTATCCTAGAAAGAAAACGAAAGCTCCTTTGGAAGCTGGATGGACAGGCCACGGTGAGGTCATGGTGGTGAGATTAGAGCGGATGCCCCCACTACTGGCCGCACATGGATAATTCTGCTTGGTGGGAGCTTCCTTTGGTCGAATGTTTGCGGGTTCCTGCGGATTGCCTTCGGAATAAAGATGTGAATTGAACCAACATGTTTGAGACCTAGCTTCAAACTAGAAAAATTGTTTGATTAAATTGCTGTGAATTATCTCTAACCACGAACCTTTTTGTCTGTTATTTACCCTTTTGAGGCCTGTCTAGACTAGAACATATCAATGCTCGTTTTGGACTAACTTGATTGACCTTGAACTGCAAGTGAAAATCCAAATGTCCAATCCGATTCTTCCCAACCCCGCCATTTGAAGCCCATCCCGCATATCGTACCACGCCTCCATTCCCGCACCGTTCACAGCTTTCCCCACTTCACCCTCTACGGGGCCTGTCTACTATAGATTGTCGTTGTAGAGGCAACTCCTACCGGTCACTAGACGCTAGGCACCTGATCCAGGTGATCGGCTTCAGTGCCGCACAATCTGGGGCGCACTCACACCCCCGCCCCACTTCACAATCAAGACGGCCATCCCCATGCCCTTAGAGGCATGTTGTCGTTCGATCATGGGCATCAGCCAGGCCAGGGCTCTCTTCACCTAGTCTGACATGATGCACTTGGTGTGTTCTTTTCATGTATATACCTGGCCATATAAAAATTAAATCAGGAGAGACTTATATCAATACTCCTCCCCTCCTTTCCCCCAACGGTTTTTTCATAATTGAGTTTCCTTCTATCGATATAGACTACCTACTTACCTGGTTCAAGTACGGATTACCATTACCGAGTTACATCTACTTATAGTACCTACCTATCTCTTGTGCTGTTAGACTACGGCACCCCCTTGCCAAGTCAAGCCCTTGGAAAAGAACCTTTCGTACCTTTCCTTTCCTTCCCTCTCCTCTCCTCACGTCTCCTCTCCTCACGTCTCCCCTCCTCACGTCTCCCCTCATCTCCTCTTCCTTCCTCACAATGATGCGTGTTCCTCGACAAGCATTTTCCACTGCCGCCCGTATTCACCCCAATATTGTTCCTCATCTTCGTCCCCAGAAGAGAATGTCTTTTGGAAGATTGTAAGTATACTATGTATGCCACACGACTTCACTTCACACGCTGACCACTCCAAAGGGCCAAGCCCGTCGCGGCTATTGTAGCTGTTGGCTACGGGGCAAAGCTCTCTCTTGACATGGTGGCGAAACGACGCATTGCTCAGATGGAAGCCACAGAGCGCGAGAATGCCGCCTACCGAGAGCGAAATGAAGCCTTGATGAACATGTATGGCGATCGATCAAGCCTCGACGAGCTCGAAAAGGCTGTGCAATTTTACGAAAAACGATAAATGAGATCCACGTCAAAACGAAAAGAAAGAAAGAAACACAAACCAAGCCGAGCCGAGCCGAGTAACCCTTGTCCTACACTTCCTTCGTTTTTATACATCTGAAGCGACGGCGATCACTCACTCCCATGGGAATGGAATATATCGGGGTTTATTGGCACGGATACCACCACGATCTGAACCCTCGAAATTGCATGGAACAGCGTTAAAAGGAATACCATTTGTTTGCCATGTTGCTTGAAAGAAACCGATTATCCGACTTGTTGATTTAACCCCAACATTTACTCTGCCTGGGCGTCTCATCATCAACGAAACAACATCGACAATGAAGTGTCTACGAAGTCGATCGATCCCCTGTGTCGAATAACACCTGGTCTGGTCTGGTCTGGTCTGGTCTTCTTGATGAATGGTGCCGGTGTAGTGAATTTAATAGATTATTACACTGGGTCTAGAAATATCCCCAATTACACTGGTCGCATTTATTCGTTCATTCGTTCGCTCCCTCACCTACTCACTGTCACTAATGAGTTCACATGTCATCAGCGCTATATTCTTAACATATCTATGTTCCCTGCTTTCTATATCTATCAGAGTTCCACATGCTCAGCTAGACGATGATCTAGACTTGGAGGGTAAATTTTCAAGGCAAGACAAAGCAAGGTAAGGGTCCAACGTCATGAGCCTCGCTGGATCACAGGCCGAGGTTTCCCGCCAGTTAACCTAGTATGTCCGAGCGGAAGGTCGGGGCCCACCTCCGAGGTCTCAACTTAGCCGGCTCTCCCTGTGTCCCTATCCGGCCAGTCCTAAGGACTTGAATCTGACGTTACCATGCCGCGGTGATTGATGTCCATTACGTCCTGGCTTGCTCCGGTGGTCATATTCCGCGATTCTATACGACAGCGACACCAAAGTTTTATCAAAGTTTTTACTGTCTAGCCAAGGTTGTTGAATCTGAGCCGGGAGATTCCTTGATGCGATTGGGTAACAAAATCAGAACGTCGGTGGGAGATAGATTACCGATTAATCCTTCAGGGTGAGTAATCTTGTATACACAGGTCCTTGCAGAAATGACCGAGATATACGGTCAAAGAGACGAGTAAATATTGCTACATCAATACAATCAACATGCAATCAACAGTGGTGACATTCGTGAAGATCAAGGCACACCAATCATCTTGCTTGCCGTTTCGGCAACTATTTTTGTCGTGGCTCAGAGTCTATTCCTCTACGTACCTAGCCGTGAGATCTATATCTCAACAACCTTGCTGCTGGAGACAGTCTTACAAACGCATGGGCGTGTCTTTTCATGACAAAGGTTGAACGCAAGTGTCCACAATTATATGTCTAGGTGTCAGGACACCAGAAAGATTGGCCGTTAAAAGCCCAAGGGACGAAATTAGTACGTCTTGTGCTACTTAGACCAGGTTTCTTAGGCTGTTTACTTTTTGTACCATGACAATTTGCTAGCTACTCTTGACGCTCGGGTTTAGCTACTGTGTTGTGGGCTTCTCAAACGCTTCTTAGCGTCATTCTTGGGGTATATATTGAGTAATCATAATTTCCTCCATATGGTCTTGATTATCCTTCCAAAAATTATCCATCGACTCCCATTTTTAGCCTTGTGATCAATAGATCTATACAGGTCCAGGCCCGACCATCTCCCGGCGCTTGATACTCTTCAGCCGGATCTGCAGCTCGCGAAGTTTGGTTGCAAAGCCACGGGAAACGGCAGCTACAAACTTGGGCCGATCCATCAGCTCTTCCATGGTGTCGATCCATGCACGATAGCTGACACCTTCGCAAAAGTAGGTGATCATTCGCTCACCCATCTCGACCTGCGCGTTTTGTTGCATGTTCAGTACCTCGTATCCGTCGGCGAAGTCTCGCATAAGGAGTTTCTGTATCCCTTCGTCGCCCTCAGTCCGGTAGAGGGCGCGATGGCCGTTGCCGATTGCGACATCCGTACATCGCATAATGAACTCACCCATTTCTGGGCTGATAAAGCGGTCGCAAAGCTTGTAGACCTCAATATAGTCACGCATAGGAGTCTTCGCGGCCATGGTCTCAGGATTCTGGGCCGGACGAGGAGGCGTGTGAGGGACGATGGAAGAGTGGCTGTATGCAAGCCCGATGTAAAGGCCGAGATACCTCGGCTCAATCTCGTCATCTTGGAATTCCACGACCCCTTTCTTAGCCTCGACGAAGCGTCCAGCTAGGCATCCTTCGAAGTACTCCGAGTTCTTGGTGAGTACACTTCTAGCGACATGAAAAGTCTCCGTTTTCACTCTGAGCTCTAACATCTGCTCGTCACCCCTACATAAGCAACTATGTCAGCAAATTATTTACTATAGAACATTCGATAAAGGTAGATTCAAGAGTCCGGAACTGAGGCAAGTAAATGTACGCACTTAACGAGCCAAGATGTGCGGCGGTCCGTGAAGACGGTGGACTGTTGTTCCTCAGCCGCATCCTCCTTGGGAGCAGCCCTGGTACGCGCCCTTTTGCGAGTTGGCTGCGGCATCGCACGGTCAGAAAGCCTTAGGCGAGGAAGTTCAAATGGTATGTGTCGGGCGGGATACAGCAAGTTCAACTTGCAGCTGAGCCTGTGCCAAGTTGTGAAGAGGGAATGTTGGTAAAAAAGACTCCTGGGATGAGTTGAGTTGAGTTGTATCCTGACACTAGGCATCGCCTGAAACGCCTTTTCGGGTTGGTAACGACTGTGCCTGAAGAGGGCTGGCACGCTTCGATTTCAGGCCTAAGAGTTGAAGGCTTAATTCTTAGAGTGCATTGTGTGATATACGCTCAAGCGCAGGGCAGCCGCCAATATCAGTGTTGTGAACGAGCCCCGTTGGGCGAGTCACTAAAGCACTGTGTCCCTCAAACGAAAGAACCACAAAACATAAAGGCTGCACAACAGCCTCAATACATTTGAAGGGGCAATAAGCAAAACCTCCTAAATAAACACTTCTTGTCTGATAACTCGTTCTGGTACCACGGCACTAGCAAACGAACCTCATCTCGCTCTTAGTCTTTTAATAGTGACCTTCTCGTCTTCCAGTTCCCACCCGACATTGTCCTTCTCTTTCAACTCATTCCACTTGCGACCGGCGGAAAATTCCAAGTAAGGCAAGTCGACGTGAAGATACGATTTCCCAAAGCATTTCAGAGTGTGAAGCCTCATGTCATCATCTGCCCACTCCATCAACTTGAGGCAATGGCGGTCGACTTGTTGCTTTACAGCTTGCCACGAGACGTAGTTGTCATGCGCCAGTGCTTTAAGTATGTGATCCAGCTTCGTGTTTCTGATGTTGAAGTCTTGCCTGATGAAGTACGCCTCCGTCAAGTCCCTACGCCGACACGCGGCATCTAGCATGAAGTAGCCAGCAATTTCTTCAATTTCGCTTTGGACCATCGGAGTCCACACAGCCATGTATCGAAGAAGGTGCAGAATCGCTGGGTGATATGACTCAGGATGCTTGGCAAGGATAGACAGGCGAATGGAGAAGATGTAGGCTTGTATGGAAAAGAGATCAGCTCGCTTGGTCGCCACCAATCCTTCTCGAAGCTTTCTCAGTGCCATTAGGACATCTTGCAAGGATTTTGTGTTGTCAGGATCCTCAATGGCAGCCAGCATAGCAGTGGTTGGGCCGCTTGAAGGAATGATTGACCGGAGAGCCTTCAATGGGCCTGCCAGCGAAGATGTGAGTGAAGCGACAGGATCGTCCGATGACAAATCAGCAACCTTGCAAACTCTTATAGCATCTGCAGCTGATGTCGAAGAGGTCTTTGATGACACTACAGCCGTGGGTGTTGCTGCTGATGTTGGTACATATCCAGGTGGAGGTTTAGTATACCGCGTGGCAGGGGTTGAATCGACTGCTCTTATGTCAAGGGCTTCAAAACTGCGTATGATTGAGTCCTTATCACCCGCTTCGGTGCAAAATGCAAGGAAGCGTGAAATGATTTGGTTGTAGTACCATTCCTGGGTTTTGTGGTTAAGCAACCTGGGTATCCTAGTCAGCCTGCCATTGATAAGCCAGCATGATCGTGTTATTATCAGATACCTATCGTCTCCTTTAGAGGGAAGTCCCATATCTAGCAACGGGTCTTGCTCGACGGGCTTCAATCTTCCCCAAGGCCCTGAGGGCATCCTGCCACCTCGGCCTCGACGGGGCATAGTGGGAATTTCTAGAGTGTGTTTAGTACCAAGAATCGTGAGATGTGAAAACAGAAGCCCCTTGATGCGATATCACAAGGAATGGTGTGTTACGATGCGTTAGTTCACGTAGCCTGGCTACGTATTGTTAAACCTTTAATAATGAATGAATGAGGTTGCTGTGAGAGGTCCGATGGTGGGGTAGCTGTTTCCAGCCGGACCCCACGACCTACTAATCCACTGTTGGTTCCTACATCCATTATCATGATAACCCTAGTGGTACCTACCTAGGTAGGTAGGTAGGCATCTACCATGGAAGGTGCCTGGGCACTTACAAGAAGAATGCGTTTGAGTGCCATTTACCCTGATTTGATGAGGGATGCTGTTCAAATAAGAAAGTGCCTATAATACATCTTGTAAGAGGCTCACTGGTTTAGTTGACACACTTAAAGCAAGAAGCAGCCTAGGCAGTGCACTAGTAGTTGGTATTGCCATCAGATATCTAGCATATAATTTAACAGAATTTCATTGATTACCGAATTATTAAACCTGCTCCCATTAATGGATTTCCATCTTAAAAAAAGAATCTTCTCGTGGGTATCATTAGTCGCTGAGAAGCTCTTCTCCTCAACCGCTGCTTTAATTATCATCACCAAAAGGTTCGTCTCCCAAATCTAAAGGTCAAGAATACTGGCCTTAGCCGTGGATACGATCAGCCAATGTTACCCTATCCCACCCCTTTGGCCCTGAGGCCTCATACTTGCCAGACTTCGAGATAACTCTTCCAAGACCCTGGTGGATCTCAGCCTGGAATGGCCCAAATGGACACTTCTCGCCATCGATGCTGATGTATCCATCATCTTGATCACGAGGAATGATGCGATATGCCGAGATCTTCTTGTATGTGGCGTGCGGGTTGTCGAACAATCGCTCGGCTTCGACGTCAAGAAGAACCTTGATCGCAGTGAGAAAGGGCAGGTCGCCATCAATAGTGACGAGATCCATCAAGCCATCGGAGATCAGAGAAGCAGCGAAAAAGGGAGCATCGGGTGACATATATGCCATCTAGAACTGTCAGTACCATCCTGTGTAAGTCCTGATCTGGCTACTTACATTACCAGCATAGAAAGTGCCAACTTTATCGTACGGGATCAACTCCCAGCCTTCAGGAAGCTCGTCTTTGATTGTGCCATACTTCAGTTCTGGCAGGCCAGCACCGTCAGTTGCAGATTCTGCCTTAGTGCTCTTCGCCAACTGGGCGAGGCTTGCAGTGCTCGCATGGTGCTTATAGTGTGCCTTGACACCCTCTTTTTCCTCAATCTCAACCTTGACCGCCAGATCGAACGGATAGCATTTTTTCTTGTACATGCGTTGCACAACACCCACTTCAAATCGCGCACTCCCCATCCATCGCATGTTCTCTGTGCCAAGATCGCATTCAGCAATGAGACCCAGCGTCTGGGAAAGAAACGAAATGATGCGGTTGTTACCGGATGTAACTGATACCAGATCCAACGGGGTTACGATGCCTTTGATGATAGCCAGAGCGGCAAAAGAGGGCCGATGGGAACCGTACAGGTTGCACGAAAATGCATTGCCTGAGCCGCAAGGGATGTGACTGACGGCCATCGTAGACAGCGCCTTCACAGCATCAGGCCGCTTAGCAAGGCCGTTGAAAATCTCGTGCGGCGTGCCATCTCCGGAACACGCCATAATGGTATCGTACCTAGACAGGTCGGCGTTTTGCGCCAGCTTGACGGCCTCGCCGCCACGCTTGAGAATGACGACGTCAAGTTGCATTTTGGCTGCATCAAAGAGCGGCTTTACCTCGCTTTCCCACTGCTTGATCGCCTTTCCAGGACCAGAGTTCGGGTTGACTAAGACATAAGCGCGTTTACGAGGCGGCGCATCGCCGTATGCGCGTGACAACAGGGTCTTAACAAAAGTCTCGGTCGGTGTTGCGCCGTTCCCCTCATCATCGTCATCCTCCTCCTCGGCAGCAAGTTCAAATTCCCATTTCCCAGGTTTGATTAGCTTTTTCGAAGCGTGGATAGCATAGTCGATCGCGATGTGATTGTCGGCGCATTCGGCCCATAGCACATTATAGAAGGGGATAATGTCCTTGGAAGATCCAGCTAGAAAGTAAACAATAAGCGGTTAGCAACTCGTTCTATACCAGCCAATCTCATTATCATTATTCTTACTACTTGTAAGAGGAGCACAAGAAGAGCGGCCGGTTTTCTTGGCAATCGGGCCTGTTCATGATGATCAGTCAAAATCTTGGGCTAATGCTGTCCATCGTACCATTGAACTCCAATCCATCGGCTCCTATAGTCAGTCTTTTCTTGCCCTCCAATAAGAGCCGCATTCCAACGCCATCTTCCATTTTTCGGTCGGTTTCTGTGACCATCGGAGCGAAGGAGCTTAATAGGCTCGTTAGAGTGGTGTTGTCAATCGCCTTGAATCGTTTGGTATCTCTGGTCGTTATATTGAAGATGGGTGCGCAGCCTTACATTCGAAGAAGACAACTGGAGGAAAGGAACGACTTAGGGTAGTAACCTGTATAAAGGAATGAGTGAGATTAAAATTGTTTAAAGAATGACTGTTTACAACTTGATCGACCGGCTTACGCGGAAGCCGTCTGACTTCTGAGCTGGGGTGTGATGGTGTAGGATTCGCGATCCGCGGGGCGTGGATACGAGATTAATTGTTTAAGCACCTCGGTACCTTGTAACCCGCCCGAGCCCCCTGAAGCTTACCTATGTACAGCTGGGGCCAACTGTCAACACCTGGGTACAGTTGTAAAAGCACTGCCGCGATAGATTCAGTCTGAGTAACAACAATCACCCAAGGGAATCTAAGACTTACCACGTCTATATCTGACACCCTTCGCCCCCTTCAACCCCCTTCCCTTCTCACATGTAATGGATTTAAAGCCTTATTGTTCTAGACAGTACATTTGACCAAGACTAATAGCGCATGTTTATTCTACAGGATGCTTTACGTTGACGTTGACTTTTCCGCATGTTCCCAAAACTCCTTGTCCCATCATCCTCTGAGCCGTTCCGTGCGCCAGTCTGCCTATCATCATCGCCATCTCCACATGTGCCCTTTGAACTTACCTAAATCAAAGGCACCTAGGAAGATAACCACTGGTCCCATGCGTCTCTATACGTCCTGACAAAGCCAATATCTTCCACTAACAGGCATATCGTATGCATGTCGAACCCCCTTAACTTTTGAGTATCATGAAATATTGGCAACTTATGCTAGTCTTGTTACGTTAGGGAACTTCTGTTGAGCAGCCTTCTTGTAAGACTCCTGGGAGCTCCTCCAGCTCTTGAGCACCTCAAGGCCCTCTATGGCATCCTCATAAGTGGCACTAGGGATATCCAAGATGCTACAAACACCTTCCTCGCTCTTGGTTTTGTCTTGGCCCAGTAGCTTCTGTACCTTGACAGCGGAAAGAACGTGCCTAGGGCTGTCCTTGTTGACCGTCAAGAACTCGTCGTTAAACTTGACCAAGTCCGTAGATGGGTCCACCGTGTTGAACTCAGCTTTCAACACTTCAAAAACCTTGGGTTCGATATCAGTTGCTGTCTTCAGCAGCTGAGCAAATGCCACAGTATGTTCATGCACTCGGGGTGATTTGGGATCAAGTGCCGATGCAGCTGTGAGGCAACGGAGGGCAAGAATGTATTTCTCTGCGGGCCCAGTATGTCAGTGGATACGGGATCGTTATTCTGATGATATTAAACTTACTGCGGCGCATATAAACCTCGAAGCCAGCAAACTGAGCGTTGATGTTCTTGGGGCTAAACTGAAGCAGAGGGTTGATATACTTCATGGCATCGCCGAGAGGATCGGTAGTTTCGGCCAACTTCAATCCGAAAGGATCATCGTCTTGTTTCTTTACCTCGCCCTCCTTGCTGGCCTTATTAGGATCTTGCTTGGCCTGTTGCTCGGCCGCCTCCTTCTCAAGGCGCTGCTGCTCCTTCCTTGCCTTTTTGGCAGCCTTCTTTTTGGCCAAAGAATCCTCAGCATCTTCACCATCAGTCCCGTTGACACCATTTGCTGAAGGCTTATCAGCAAGCTTGAGATAGATCTCAACTGCATCCAGAGCAGCACGGGAAAAGAAAGGGTGGTCGCGGATGTGATCTTCCCATCGCACCATGTCGATGTAGGCGCGAATCTGTCCCTTGCGCAGAGAGAAGCTGTGGAAGTCAAACTGATCCTCTTGCCACACCTCAAAGATGGTGAAAATTTGCTTGAATCTCTTGAGGGCCAGTGCAATGTTGCCCTGGCGCGCGTATGCTTCGCCGTCTTCTGTCAAGAACCAAACACTCTGCATATCCAAGAGGTCGGCTAAAGGGCCACCCACAGTCTCTGCGCGAGTAAAAAGCCCAACCGTCTTGAGAGCCTTTTCGTTCTCGTCGTTGCGAAGCTGGTATTTAGCAGCCTTTGTGTTGATGTATCTATCCTTGAGGTCAAGCTTCCTGGCTCGGTCCATCGCCTTGGAGGCTTCCTGCAGATCACCGCCGTGCTTAATAATTCGGGCTTTGGTCATGGCATAATCGACGCTCTTGGGGTCTTTCTCGATTGTCTTGTCGACATACTCCATGGCTTTCGCCAAGTCGCGACTAAGATAGTAATTGTAGTGCTGTGCAAGATAGTAAAGCGCCGCCGCCTCTCCCTTGTCTTTGCTCTCGGAATCCGCGTTCTGGGAGTTCAGGTAATTTTCAGCCAGTTCGCGAAGGGTCTCCTTCTTGAAAGAGTCGGAATACAGGTGCTTGAGGTTTGCAAACGTGGATGGAACTCCTTTGTTAAGCATCAAGGTCAGATAGGCCTCGGCAGCTTGTTTAAAGCCGTCACCTATTTGAAGTCAGCATGTGCCTCTGATTGGCATATTCATTACTTACCGGAAAGAAAATCCAATGGGAGCCGGCGTGCAGCATCACACCTAGGTAAGTTCTTAGCATATTCATCATAAACAGCTTTGCGAGTCTTGACATCGTCCTCTGGAACTTCCAGAACCTCGAGAAGTTTCTCATAGTAGATGGGATGCTCCGAGTTACGGTCGAGTAAAGCGCGGTAAGCCTTTGCAGCCTCTTCCTTCCTGCCTAGCTTGTGAAGATATTCAGCACGAGCCTCCATGACAGCCAGCCGGTCGAGGTTTTGCTTAGCAGCAGTATTCAAATGCTCAAGAGCTCGTTCGTAATCCCCTTGCTCAGCAATCAAAGAATTTTTGTACATGATTGCTTCCGAATGCTCGTTATCGAATTTAGAGGGCTTCGTCTTCAGTGTTTCCTCGTAGGTGTTCATGACCTTTTCGGCTTCGGCGGGGCTACCGGAAAGATGGTGAGCAATAGCCAAAGCGGTCCAGCTTTGGCGTGCTTGGGGTCGGGCCTGGAGCATAGCAGTTCGACTCTGAATGTAGCCCTGGTAATCGCGACATTGAATTTGTAGGATGGCCAGATCACGCTGGATTTGTGCTGAGTCGGGTTCCAGTCGGAGAGCAAATTTGTATGCCTTGATAGCCTCTTCGAAGTTCTTGTTTGCCCGGTGCAGCAGACCGTAGACGTGCCAGCAGATGTGCGACTTCATGTCCATAGTCAGAGCTTCTTTCCCCAAAGCGAAAGCCTCTTCTGTCTTGCCTTGCGCATTCAAAATCAAAGCCTTCATAGCAGTGGTGTCCCCATGTTTGGGATGCTTCTTGAGAATAAGCTCGGCGGACTTGATTCCACGCTTGTATTGTTTGTCTTCATAGTATCGGATGACGGAACGGAAAAGCGAGGCCTCCTTGGAGGCAAGAGGTTGCGGCATCGTGTAGTCGCAATAAGATCCCAATCGCCGGTCAGTTCGGTACGTAGCTGTGAATGTAAAAGCTTTGTATGTAAGAGTTATTCAACTCTACTACCTATCGACGATTCGAGCTGCCTAGGGCTGGATGAGGGGTATGCGGGCGAGGGTGACAAGGAAGCTTTGGCGGGGTATGGTGACGATACTTCTCGAATAGAGAGAAGATGGAAAGCAATTGATAAAGGACGAAAATGTGGCTTCCCTGGCCGGAGAGTTCAGATCGGTGCAGTTCACAGCTAGAGATGCCGTAACATGCGACCTTATGAAACGATGTGGACAGGAATTGCTACGGTTGACCGGTAATTTCTCGGAGCTGTAGTGGGCTACATGAGTTGATTTTGGCGGGGCAGTACCAATACCAAATCCATGACAGCGAATGCCTCATCACTCATGAGAGTTGGAAAAAACAAAAAAGAAGAAGAAAAGTGGCATATGCTGCTAATAATAATAAGTTTGTAAGACATGTAAGTCAACTGGTTATAGATAGTTATATTTCAGGGCGATCTAGGTAAAAACTGAAATGTTTTCCAACTAAGCGGATCTTAAACTTCCAAACAATATATGAGTAGCAGAGATCCCCAGGCGTAATATACACCTTGTCTATAGTATCTAAGTAGGGTAACAGCATATAAAGGGTTATGCTAAATCACCAACAGAAGCAATACCTAACTCACGTTTAGTGGGTTATTTGTCATTCAATTATTATTAACACAAGGGGTGATGGTGTTATGCACGTATAGTACCTAATCATACAGTTCGCCTCTCATTCCCTACCTAAGTAGGGAACAAAGTCATGCCATGTCGTTGTTATACAGATGGTTTCGAATTTTGTGCCTTCTTCCATCTGCTGATGTTATCTTCCCACCTTTCGAAAGGGTCGCCGCCACATCTTTGCTGCACCACCTCCCATGTTCTATGTCGCACGATACTCTCGATACCTCGTTCTTGTCTGACAAGCGAGGCCAACCTCTCAGTGCGGGCTTCGCGGGGGAAGAATCTACCAGAATATGGATCCAATCGTTCGTCTACAATTCGGTCACGGTCTTGCTCTCTTTCAAGTTCTCTGATTGTACGGTCCGGATCATCGGGGTCCGGGCTTGCCGCTACCAAAGCACAATAATTCAGGACCTGAGTCCGAGCTTCCCAGGAAGGGAACAGCACCTTCTCCTTAAATTCCGAGCATGACCGAGAGTCGATCTGCTTCGAAGCCGGGCGGGAAGTACGTTGTAAGGTAGAAGATGGGTCGAATCCGGATCGTGACGGCGTTAACAGTGCATTGAGATTCTGGGTGATTGAATCATCTATCGATGATCTTGACAGTCGTAGAAAGTCTCAACCATGAGTCAGTCAACTATAGATTATGCAGTTGCACGTTTTAATTTGTCTTACCTCGTAACGTCCCATATGAAAAGCAAAATTGTGGCGCAAGACGAGGTTGTGCTGATGGTTGAGTCATGATATTACTTGGTCGCAAGGACTTCTCTTTCTGAGTGTCCGGCGAGCCCTTCCAGAGTACTCCAGCCAGAGTGGGCGGCTGTATTGGATCCAATATGTAAAAATAAATTTGGTATACTGGAACTGCTAGCGTGTTGAAATCAACGTGGCTCGTAAGGAAGCTGAAACAGGGCCTTGTCTTGTCTTGCTGACCGTTGACCGTCGATAGTAATAAGTGCCCGTGTCAACCAGTGATTGTTGGTTCTGTCTTAATTGCTGTGACGCATCGAAAAGGCTAAGCTAAAACTACTAATGCGGTTATTTGAACTCAGATACTACGGATAAACCTTGACTCCGCTGACCCCTGATCCCTGCACAGATCCCCCAGCTTGATCCTGGTAGTCCCGATCAGTCACTGCAAGTCAGAAACCTGGACTTTTCAGCCTGTCTAAACAAGACGAAGTGAAATGTGTACGTACGACATGTATCAAATCCATCAATATGATGAATTAGCACGAGACGCACTCCTAAAAGCCACGCCAAGAACAAAGCAAAACTAGTCTAGCAAAACGCCTAGGGGCAAGTTCAAAGTGAGGCATGGTTTTCTTTGCTTTTCGGTTTCAGGGTCTGCATCCTGAATCGCCGTAGCACATGAGAAACCTTCCAATGTTTTTTATCCAATGAATCAAATGGCCACGATCGATTCGTGGAGCTACGCTACTCTCGCAGCCGCCCCAGTGGATGGCACGTAAAATGGGAATATACCGTCCTGCTGCCAAGGTACCATTCAAGCATTGATACTCTATTTCCACCAACGCCTCACGTCTGAGAGCTCGGTGCAATGCTCTACTAGGGTATACCTGGTCAAGCGGTTTGAGTAATGGTCAAGACCAGATGACAGGATCTCAACACCTACAATCAGAGATGCATTCTTTATCCCAAAGTCAGTAATTGAGTTTAACGGGCGCAATACCCTATCAGGCTAGAATTCACATGAGACTCCGAAACTTCCATTTTAGATAAAAGACGCAACAAAAAAACGACTCGCGAAAGCAGATGCAGACGCCACCGTTGGGACCCGTCTGTCGGCGCAGCCTCCAGGCCACTTATTCGACGCCCATTCCGGGTCCCAAGCAGCTGGACACAATAATTGATCCTTGGCCGGCTACGCTAAGTTCAACGCCCGGGATCCCATCTACCACAAACCAACGCTAAGAACCACCAAGTTTGTTGGCTAACAGTATGTACAGTACGGTCTGATTTTGGGCCAGAAGCCCTCTATCTGAGTGTTCTGTGATCTGTGGATTACCTGGTCTTGATATGTGACGACGGTGCGCAGCATGTAGAGCGCGGGCCATCCTCAGCCTGTTGCGTTGCGTTGCGTTACGTTGCCTTGAGCCTTCATCCGTTTTCTGTAGACGAATTTGGACACGGGGAAAGCGAAAGCACGGGCTGGATCCAGTCATGCTGCATGTTCTTGGTGACATACGTGCAGCCGCAGAATTGTACATTTACCCCCAAGCCTTCCTACGCGAGTCCAGTCTTGTACAGCCTTTAACACAACTTTGGCTTTTCCAACAAAATTGATTGCCTACGTTTTTTCCTTCCCCAAGGATGGATCTCAAAAGCCGGATCAAGAAGGCAAACCTCCAAGACCTCATCGATATTTGCGAGCAACTCTCCAAGGAGTGCAGGGGTTTCTCAAACTGTCTCAACACTAGCCCAGTCGTTTTGGCTGCGCTCGCCAAGGAGTGTCGTGCGATCACCGATGCGCTTGACAGGTTACACGAACTCAGCCGGACAATTGAAGGTGGCACAGAAGGCGTGCAAGCGTCGAATAACGGATTTGTTTATTCTGTTTCCAAGGACGTGTATGAGCTCAGAGCAGCATTGAAACGGATAAAAGGACCAGACAGAGACAGTGGCATTCATCTTAACGAACCACAACTCATAATTGTCTGGAACGAAGCGACTCTGAAGGAGTATCTGGGACGATTGCGCACTCACCAAGCATCCCTTCATACTCTCCTCAACACTGCAACTCGGTGAGTAGCCTTCCCGTAGCCACCGATATGTCTCTAACATTTGCCAGGGCTAGCTATAGCTTCGGGGAAAGCGATCTGAATAGGCGTCGCGTTATTGAACCCGACATTGAGGTAGACGAAGCCCTCCGAAGCCTCGGTCGAAAGTTCACAGCACCAAATCAACGGTCGATCGTTTTGCCTCGAGTCAGCGATTCTACAGAGATACAAATACTTTTAGATACACTTGTACCACCTCTTGGGGTCAACTATGTACAAACCAAAGATGTCGCACACGAGCTGCACCACGCCATCGAACAGACGGATGAATCTGCCGTATTTAACATCCTCCTCGAACGTGCAGACCCCAACATAACGCTAGCGGGATCAATGCTGTCTCCCCTGCACCGCGCTTTCAATAAGAAGCACATGTTGATCGCTGCATTTCTGATCGTTGCTGGCGCAGACGTTGACGAGCCTACAACTGACGGTGATACAGCATTGATGAGAAGTATCAAATGTGGGTTTTCAGAACAGTTTGCGAGGCTTGTTATTCACATGAAGGCTCGCATTAATTCAATTGATAATAACGGACGATCGGCACTTCACTTTTCCGCCGCCTCAGATGTTCTCGAGGATGAGACACTGCCAACTCTCATAAATGCCGGCGCAGATATCAACCTTGTCGATTACGAGGGGCACACACCGCTGCATGTCGCAATACAACACGCCCACTGGTCTGCAGCGACGAAATTGGTGCAGGCTGGAGCAGACCTCGAGGTCCGATTGCCCGATGGGAAAACAGCACTGCACCTGACAATAGCAATGCGCAACCAAGAGTTTACCCAAGTGCTAATATCCCGCGGGGCGAACGTTGACCGCAAGCTTCGTGAGCATACACCTCTGACAATGGCCATCAGTACTCGCTGCACTCCTATCACAGCTGCACTCCTAGATATGGGTGCAAATCCAAATTTACCAAGTCGAAACGGGAACACCCCTCTTCTCGCAGCGGCAGCTACCGGGCATGATGAGACGGTGAGATATCTAATTGCCCATGGTGCAGATCCAACAGAGACCCATGGACAGTCTGGATACACACCCATGCATATGGCGGCGCACAAAGACAAACCTCATATCCTTCGACTCCTAGCTGAATCAGAGGCGCCTATCGACGTTTTAGATAGAAACGGCGAAACTCCTCTCTTGATAGCTGCCAAACTCGGCAATAGTCAGAGTATTCTTCGCTTGATCAACCTAGGTGCCGATATCGAACGAGTGGGGCCGGATGGCATGAGTGTGCTTTCCCATGCAGTCAAGATGGGCGACGTTGACCTTGTTACTGCCCTCCTAGAGCTAGGAGCTGGGATGCAAATGACGTCTATGTTCCTTTCTAGAGGTAGCAGGGAATATCTGGTCCCCGAGCCGCAGACGACTCCGATCCATGTGGCCGCCCAACACGCTCGAGACGAGATTTTGCTGCGACTTGTATCATATGGGGCGTCTATTGAGAGCACCATATTCCCTGGTCGGACTCCTTTATCGGTTGCGGCATCTCATGGTCATGTTTCCACAGTTCGGCTTCTACTTCGACTGGGTGCGAATACACAAGCTTTGACTACACATGGCGATACACTTCTTTTTGAAGCATCAGCGAACCTGGCAACACTCAAGATCTTACTACAGCAGGGAATTAATGTAAATCACCAAAACGACCGGGGCGCGACCGCTCTTCATTATGCGGCTCTTCGTGGGCACATAGGTGGTGTTCGAATGTTACTCGAGAAGGGAGCTAGACAATACCATGCAAATGCTGTATGGGATGTGTGGGAAGATAGGGATGGCGCAGGAGGCTATCGGCAAGGAACGCCGGCTGGTATGGCTATGCAAAGAGGTTTGGACAACATCGCGGAGTTAATTGAGGGATGGAGATACAACTGACTACCTAGTCGGGACAATATTTGGCGACAAGGTTGTTTTCATGGGTAGGCGGAATAATGACTGGATGATAAACTGTAATATCCCATATATATGCTCTGTATATAGCTTGCATTTACCAAGATACCATAAACGTTTTTTTTTTTTACGATTGTCTTTTTAAAATAGTAGTTTATATGTGAATTATTCCTTATTCTCTTTAAACCCGGGGCCTTGATGTGGTACTTCGTGCTGGATAGACTACTAAGATAGAGTAGTAGAACACCTAAGCTTTCCACCCTAGCACTGAAGACCGCCAATATCGATGATGCTGGGGATGGTTGTGTACCCAGGGTAATAATAGATAGGTAAGCAACCCGTCACGAAGTCACGGATATGAACATCAAGGTAGGTAGCTAAGACCGAGTTGCAAGAATACTTGCAGAACGGCGCATAGGAAAACTTTCAGAAGCGCAGAGGGATGGTTTCGGGTGACGTGATTTTAAGATTAATTTATTAATCAATCCTAACAGTAAAGGCAAGATCTCTCGCCATTCAGCCTAACTATGATTTACGAATACGAGACGTCATGACAGTGTTCCAGTGTTGACGTAATGGGCTCGAGCGATGGGTGTGGTAGTCCGAGTGTGTTCTCAGAAATGTCCATGATGGGCGTATTCAATTTCCTTTATGGTCGCTTCGCTTTCAACGTGTTCTGTTGAATGAAGTAGGAGACTAGGTACTTTCTAGATATGCAGTCTCGTGATTAAGGAGCTAAAAAGAGTAACGCCTAATAAATCGAATTTATTTTACTTGACTCTGGTGGTTTATCCTTCATATCTCATCATCTCATAACTTCTCTGCGCTTTTTCTTCATATTGTCCGTGGTTACCTGCCTACTAAGTGTATCATCGATATACAATCTAACCCCCCTTTTTCATTTAGCAGGCTAGTCACCTGTAAATTGATACTAAGCACGCATAAACCAAGCAAACTACAAACAAGACGGTTCTTGAGGGGTTGCCTTTCAAACATCTACATATATTTCCTTTATACCTCGAAATCTATCTAGTCCTGGGGCAACAAACGACCAAACCCCTTATCAGCACCCTTACAGTGAAGCACTGGAGTTTTATCACTACTGTCCTGACCAGCTGTCTCCCCTGCCTTAGTACTCTACAACCCCGCAATCCGCAGTTGGCCCCTCGTTACTGTAACTACCGTATCTACTACCTGATACAGTACACGAGACCGCTTCTCAAAATCTACTGTCGCAAACACTACAACTCCACCTCCTAACTTTTCTATATCCGGCACAAAATCGTAATCATGTCGTCCGCAGCCAACGCTTCCGCCCAGGCGAACAGCAGCAGCTGGACCGCCTTCCTCAAGGTAAATATTTAACCTCGTGTTCTACCTAGTCCAGATTTGAGCGACTCGTAGATGATCGCGGTAGCTGACCCTCGTCTTTGCGACGTGCTCTATAGTCCATTGCCTCCTTCAATGGCGACCTATCTTCGCTCACTGCGCCACCCTTTATCCTCTCTTCTCAGTCTCTTACCGAGTTCTCTGCCTACTGGGCTACGCACCCTCCCGTCCTGACCGCTCCTGCTGCCGAGTCTGATCCCGCCAAGCGTGCTATGCTCGTCCTCAAGTGGTTCCTCTCCACTCTCAAACACCAATACGCCAGCCGAAGTGAGCAGTTTGGAAATGAAAAGAAGCCTCTGAACCCTTTTCTGGGCGAACTTTTCCTCGGCACCTGGTCCGATGAAGCTGGCGAGACCACCCTTGTCTCAGAGCAGGTCAGCCACCATCCTCCTGCCACCGCATACTGCATTCGCAACAACAAAACTGGTGTTGAGCTCGAGGGTTATAACGCCCAGAAAGCCACCTTCAAAAGCACCATCATCGTTAAGCAAATTGGCCATGCCGTCCTACGAGTCCCTCTTGCCTCGGGTGAGATCGAATCCTACCTGATCACCCTTCCTGGCCTGCACATTGAGGGTCTGATTTTCGGTGCTCCCTTTGTTGAGCTTGATGGCTCGAGTCACATCACTAGCTCCAGTGGCTTCACTTGTAAGATTGACTACAGCGGCAAAGGATGGCTTTCTGGCAAAAAGAACACCATTGTTGCCAGTGTCTATCCTACAGGCAAGGAAAAGGACGTTCTCTACAACGTCACCGGCCAGTGGAACAAGTCTTTCGAGGTCTACTCAGGCCCCGCCAAATCCAACTCCAAGTCTACACTTGTGAGCACATACGACGCCGTTAACACCGCTCAGACTGAGCTCCGCGTCGCTCCTGTCGATCAGCAGCATCCTCTCGAGTCTCGTCGTGCCTGGTCTCGTGTGGCCGAGGCCATCCAGAAGGGTGACATGGACACAACTGGCGCTGAAAAGGGCAAGATTGAGCATGCCCAGCGCAACATGCGCACCAAGGAGCGCTCCGAGTGCCGTACTTGGGATCGACAATATTTCACGGCTGTCGAGGGACAAGATCCCGTCCTTCAGCAACTCGGCAAGGTCGTTGGCGTGCCTACCGATGGCGAGGCCGATAAGACTGGTGGCCTCTGGCGATTCGATAAGACCAAGGCCGATGCTCGTGCTGCTAAACAGCTCACTCAGGACGATATTGCTCAGATGGAGAAGGAGCTTCTTGGGTGGTAGTCACAACGAAGAAGGTCTTTAAGCAATGCCAAGTGGCTCGAACTCGGTTATAATACATCGTAGCGGAACAGGAGTAGCGAGAGGAACAAAGCGGGATCAAAAGAGGTTGTTACAGGTTAGAATAAACGGCGCTGGCACATGTTCTCCGATATAAGATAGGGATGATTCGTAAAGAACCGACAGGCTGGAAGGTGTTGGTTTGTATAATACTCAACAGTTTATGTATGCTCGACGATTAATGACATGGTTTTCATGTACTTCGGTTCTTTATCAGCACCTAAAACGTTTTCACGAAAGGCTACTTGGCATTTGTACCTGTACACGGTTATTGCAATAGCATATTTATTCATTTAACATTCGACATCTTTAATGCATCGTGGTTTGAAACGCCACATAGGCGAGAGGGTTTGTTCATACTTCATCATGTTTTTTTCATTAGTTTACTACTTTCATCACCTCATAACGTCCCTTGCAACTCTGAACTGCAACGTCGTATCTGAACCAAGGGGAGGGCCTATTTATTTGGTCCCTTATTTTTCCAAACGATATTTCATGAATTTTGTCGCGCTATTGGGATATCATTAAAGCCATTGAGTGTCTACGGGGACATTTATAGCTGGTTGGCGGTGTTGAAGTCCTCGAGAGCCTCAGCAACACGCTTAGACATGGTCTTCTCACCCTCACGGACCCAGACACGGGGCTAGACGAAGTGTTAGCAAACAAGCATACAGGCATGGTTACGTTGATAACTTACGTCAAAGTACTTCTTGTTGGGCTTGTCCTCGCCATCTGGGTTGCCGACGGTGGTGTTGACGTACTCGCGCTTGTTGACCATGTAGTCTCGGATACCAGAGCAGTAGGCGAACTGCATGTCAGTGTCGACGTTAACCTTGACAACACCGTAGCCGATGGCGTCGAGGTACTCCTTCTTGGAGGAGCCGGAGCCACCATGGAAGACAAAGAAGACAGGCTTGTCGTTGTCGGACTTGAGGGCCTCCTTGACATGAGCCTGGTGCTTGCCGAGAAGCTCGGGGTGGAGCTTGACGTTGCCAGGCTTGTAAACACCGTGGACGTTGCCAAAGCCAGCGGCGATGGAGAAGTAGGGGGAGATGGGAGAGAGGGTGTTGTAGATGTTGAGAATGTCCTCGGGCTGAGTGTAGAGAGAGTTGTTGTCAACATCCTCGTTGTTGACACCGTCCTCCTCACCGCCAGTGATACCAATCTCCATCTCGAGCCACTGCTTCATGGGGGCAGCGCGCTTGAGGTACTTGGCGGTGGTCTCAATGTTCCACTCAACGGGCTCCTCAGAAAGATCAATCATATGAGAGGAGAAGAGGGGCTCGCCCTTCTCCTTGAAGTAAGCCTCATCAGCGTCGAGCATACCATCGAGCCAAGGGAGGAGCTTCTTGGCGCAGTGGTCGGTGTGAAGGACAACGGGGATGCCGTATGTGGGAGCAAGAGAGCGGACGTAGTGGGCAGCGGCGACAGAGCCGGCAATGGAAGCAGCTTGGTCACCGTTGCTGACACCCTTTCAGATTGTTAGTTTGATATTAGTAGTGAAAAGATTTTGTTGGGCGGCATACCTTGCCAGCGAAGTAGGCGGCACCACCCTGAGAGAATTGAAGGATGACGGGAGCCTTAGCATCGCGAGCAGCCTCAAGGGCAGCGACGACGGTAGAGGATGAGGTAACGTTCTATAGTATCTGGTCTTAGCAATAGGTTTCGCGTGTTGTCCCGGGTTTCTTGGCTCACAATGGCAGGAATAGCGAACTTGTGCTCGCGAGCGTACTCGAAGAGACGGAGGACATCGTCACCGACGATGACACCGGACTTGCGGCTGAGGACTTCTTGGGCACCCATGATTGCTGTTTTTGATGCTTAGGATTGATGAATTGTAGGTTGATATGAGAAAGATGAAGAAGAAGAGGAAAAGTCTAATGAGCAAGAAAGTTGTTAGTTATGAATGAAACAGGCAATGACGAAGAGGAGGGGCGTAGCGGGGTTTTGAATCCAATTTGGTTTGGGTCTTATCGATAATGCATGCAAGCTGTTGCGTAGTAGTGATGAGAACCTGGGTAGGGGCAGAGAATTTTGGAGGGGCAGACAGGGCAGGACAGGAGGGGCTCTTCTGGCGCTCTTGCCGAGAGTTTCTCTGTGCGGGTCGACATGAGCTCATCAGTTTTGAGGCCATGAGCTGTTTACACCATCCAGCAGCGGCATTTCGATGAGGCATAAACCGACAACATGATAAGACAGCGGAGTTCTTCATCTCGCAATGAATGCCCGTCTAATTCATCTTGCAGCATTCTGCGTCTCAATTGGCGAGAACCGACGTCCGTTACGAATCAGCTGAGAGTCACGGCCCGTATACAGAATTCCACGGACCTCCAGGACTGTTGAATGGGCTGAGACTGTTGAACGATGCGCCGCACCATCCAGTGAGATGATAGGGATCATCCCATGCAGAAACGGACGTTCACCGCACACCTCAGCCCGATTCAAGTTCCCAGGAGCTCCGTTGCCCGGTGGCTCTCCGGTGGCTCCGCGGCCGTTATGTCTTCTCTGACCTTCTCTCGGTCTCTGCGCTACTCTCTCTTCCTCTCACAACTCTGCTCTCTATCATGTTGTCCACCCTGTCTCCGCTATAGACCAGCCTGGTTCGAGCATCCTCGTCGGACCAAGACTTTGTCCAGAAAATCGCTCCCCCAGCAAGCTCACTCGAGGTGGCTAGTGAGAGCTTACTGACGTTGTTGAGCAAATCCTCGGCGGTAAAGTGGGGTCGCCAACACAGCGGCGCCGTTGAAGAGCAAATGCAATGGATGGGATTGGACTCGGTATGTAACAGTGGGGAGTGATGCGACTTACACACTTTTTGGCAGTTAAATAGGAGGCCCAGCTATGATGTCGGCAATGACGATAAGTGGAGGAATTGTCAAGATCTGAAAATGAAGATATCACCAAGGGGGGAGGGGCGGCCGATTTATATGATTTCCCCCTCTGTGCCGAGAGCTTTTCCTACCACATCCGGCACTTCGGGGTAGTAGACGGAAACATGCGGGACGGACTGGCCATTGGAAGACCATTAATCGGATTGTTGCTTGTCGTTGTTAGCAAAACATTGACTATGATTCTCGTGTGACCCCATTTTCCCCGCATACTTAATCATCGTGAGCATCACGGTTGGCTGGAAACCCGCCATGGCTGTGGACACCTCTGGGCTGGCTTACGCTGATGCTGCTTGCCCGGACCTCTCAATCCCAATATCGCGATTGCAAAGCCAATTAGAGTGGTCGCTGCATGACGCGGTTGCATCCGGAAGCAATTTCTAGATGATTCTTGCCAAACATAAGCCTTGCCTTGCATTGCGTTGAGCGTGTTTCTCCATTGGGATCATTCAGTTTGAACTCAATTTTCCTTACTTGAGATGAGAAATCATGATCGCAATTAGATTGGTAGAGCTCCAACATAATTCTTGTGGTCTTTAGTTGCCGTTGTGCATCGTCTCGGTCATCTAATACCGAACAACAGCATCATGACAACGACGAGATAAACTCGGATCAGCAACTTGGACAATGTTATTTTATTTCGAATGTTAACCCGGCTGATACCGAATAGTTGCATACTGGTTGAAGATACCGCATACATGTGAGGATTTTCTCGGCTGACGACCAGGGTTCTTTACCAATACGAGTCGTGGTCAGTCAAATGCGTTGAGCACTACATACGTCTTTCAATTTACAACAACTTTGGAAATTACTCAATCGCATTTCTAGATACACTGTCAGCCTGCCCAACTTATCGGTTCCAGTCCTTTGAGTCGATTGCTCGAACCTCGACGAGACTGGATTGGGTTACAAAGGAAGCATAGCGTAATCTGAAGCTCAATCTCCACCACTGCTTTCGGCTCGTCCCTTGACCCCGTCTGGTCCAAGAGGTTCTAGAGCCTCTCGATAGCTCTCACAATTGATTAGTCTAATGCGAGATCTTTCGTCTAATAACACTTGATTGGCTTCCGTAGCTCAGTTGGTTAGAGCGTCGTACTAATACTTCATTCCGAGTATCCGGTAATGCGAAGGTCTCAGGTTCAAGCCCTGGCGGGAGCAAAGTCTCTCAGTGCCTATCAAATGTTTATTTTTGGTTGATTTTCGCCATGCCTTTTTGTTTTGATAATGTGAGATTATCCTTGTTTGTCATTAGTTGTAGGTAGTAGGTGAATGTGTAATTGACAGTGTTGCAGAAACGGCTCAAAACTGTGGTTAAACACATAAACATGATCGATCGTCTGCTAAAATACAAAGTCTAATAGCTCTGATTCACGCAGTATCGTCACGAAAGATAAGTCTCTTAGAGCAACCTTGTTCTCACATTTCGGTTACTCTATCTGAGCAAATATCAAACAATCGTATATCCGCTAAAATAATGTTTAAGGCGATATTTCTCTGTCATTAGGGTATTAGAAAAATTAACCGCTGGAAGCATACGAGATGAAGTTAGTAGGTCAGTTTATGCTCCTTAGGCTATAGTTCGTAGACTACTTATTTTTATACCCTAAGACTTAGGAGGCTACCTTTTCTGCCACCCGCTAGTCTGTATCCTATCTGTTTGGGAAGCCATATAACCCTAGAGACGTCATCAAGTGACCATTCGTTAACGAATCATACAGACAGTTTCAAGGCAGGTTCTGCGAATGGATGAATAGATTTGGTTTGTACTTTTTATTTTTCTATATCCAGGTATCTTCATGCCTAAGCGGCTTGCTTCGTCATACAGATTGTCGGTTGATCCAATAGAGCCAGACGAGATGTTGATAGCATGTTCAAACCTCAAGCGGATTTGTCGCAGTCGGGATACATAATACCGATGTTTTTATATAACAATATTTTATTTATATTTAAAACTAGATTCAACTTGATCATAGCTTAATCTTTTTGGGCAGTGCAGCTTGAGGAGATAATACTTGGTTTATTGTTGCAGTTCTCTGCACATGAATAGACATGTTTCACGTGCATGACGTCTAATAAAGAGTTATAAAAAAAAAGAGGGCCATTCAGAAACCCTAGCTCCAGCGTATCGCCATCGAGACACCCGAACATTACATTATTCAATCCTTCAACCTGATGATACCGCGTAAGCTGTACCGGCTGGAGCCAATGTGAAAGCATACGGCATCGTCTGTTTGACCACCTGCCTATTCATTCGGCACCATTGCCTGCCGAGCATGGACGAAGAAACACTAAAAGAAGCCCTCAAAAGCTTCCCAAACGCCGAAAAGTCGGCGGCACCTCCAGTGGCAGCATCGGGGCTCAACATCAACGCACTGTTCGACAACCCACTTTTTGCAGGCGGAATAGGTCTTGCATCTTTGGGAGCAGTTGCAGCCTTCGCACGCAAAGGCGCGGTATCCGCACTCGGAGCAGCTCGCCGTCGCCTGCTGGTCAATCTGGAAATCAGCAAGCAGGATCCAGCCTACCCATGGATTCTAGCTTGGCTGTCGCAACCTCGCGAAACACCGGGCTTCATTGCTTCTCGACTTACACGGATACATAATGTCTCAATCACTACGACAAATGCATCTCGGACTGCGGGGTCTAGCGGACCTCAGCATGCGCAATTCTTCGTCCAGCCCGGTTACGGACGACACATAGTCAAGACCGGCAATGTTTACATTGCCGTAAATCGTGAGAAGCACAACACAGCGAATATGAATACGGGCGAACCGCACGAGATTGTACAGTTGACGACTCTTTGGGCGCACCGACACGTCTTTGAAGAAGTGTTCAAGGAGGCACGCGCATTGGCGGCAAAGGCGAACGAGGGAAAGACAATAGTATACTCAGCCCGAGGAATGGATTGGCTGCCGCTCGGTGATCCTCGCAAGAAGCGTCCATTGGATTCGGTGATATTGGACAATGGTGTCAAGGAAAACATCGTTAACGATGTGCAAGACTTTTTGAATCGGCACCAATGGTATGTGGATAGAGGTATTCCGTATCGAAGAGGGTATCTGCTATTTGGTCCACCGGGCAGCGGAAAGACTTCGTTCATCCAGGCACTCGCGGGGGAGCTAGACTTCAGTGTGGCCATGATAAACCTCAGTGAGATGGGCATGACAGATGACAAATTGGCATATCTCCTCACGAAACTGCCCAAGAGGAGTTTGCTATTACTCGAGGATGCCGACGCAGCATTCGTCAACCGACGACAACGGGATGCTGATGGTTACAATGGCGCGACTGTGACATTCTCCGGCCTTCTTAATGCTCTCGACGGTGTTGCCGCAGGTGAAGAGCGCATTGCGTTTCTGACAACCAACCATGTCGACCGCCTTGACCCTGCTCTCATCCGACCTGGCCGGGTGGACTTGATGCTTCGCATTGGAGAAGCAACGCGTTACCAGGCTGAAAAGATGTGGGATCGATTTTACGGCGACATTGACAAGGATCATTCCGGCCGAGAACGGTTCCTCAACCGATTGGAAGAGTTGGGTCTATTTGGTGTTGGACCGAATGGAGAACCATCGAATCGACACACAAGCACTGCCGCAATTCAAGGCCTGTTCTTGTTCAATAAGAACGACATGCGGGGCGCTATCGACATGGCCGAGGGCCTCATCCCGAGGAAGTTCGAGGCTTCAGACGAGATCCCAGAGGGAGCGATCAAGACACCTGCTTGATTGCTTACTGTTTGTATTTTGAGTATGTATGATTACTGTGTACTATATGACCAGCCATTTTTTATACCCGTGCTGGAACTGGAACGAAAATATTGTATAGTAGATTTAATGGTGTGCAGTATAAACATGACAAAGCACATAGGACTTGTGTATCAGATAACACATGATTTCGTTCTTGTGATTGTGCCCAAGCCTGACAAACAGTATCCCAGCGGTGATTCATTTAGCATCCTCCCCACGTAGGTAGGATAAGTCGCACAAGTTGCTCGACATTTCTAGAGCCCCAATGAAAAAAGAAGAAAAAAACCCGAAGACTCTTATTATTAGGGGAGAGTCCTATGAAAAGCATTTCCGGTTGCAGGGGAGGTAACTTGGTGGTTTGATCAACCTTAGTACCTAGGTAGATAGGTACTTACTAAATCATGAGCTGTGAATCACTGTTGCCTAATTTGGTATTTTGACTTGCTCACATCCTTCTACAAATATGAACCAACCAACATAACCTGAACCTTCTCAACACTCTACACCCGTCTACAACCCTTACCTACCTAGGTGTTTATTGAAAGTGTTTGCAAAACAAAAGAAACCAGGTTATTGTCGAAGGTCAAAAGCAACTACAATTCACTGCCCATCATTTTTCAACAGTCGTCGCCCTTTATGTCGAGCAACTCGAACCAACGGCATCGCCAAGGAACACTGGAAGCATGGCTCTCGAAAGGATCATCATCAAAACGTAGCTCCCCGAGACCTAGATACCGCAGCAGTCAGAAGGACCCGTTTAGACAGGGCGCAGCGCTGGCAGCCGTAGCTCAAGAGACGCGAACAGTGCTTCCCAGTATCTTGGACCAGTTGCCGCATATCGATGCCAGAAAGGCCGAGCGGCATTTTTATACAACCTTGCCTCCTCTCAGTGCAGTCGATTGCCCACGGAAAACACAATCAAGACAAACGACTATCAGAGTTGTGAACGATGACAGTTTCAATGCTGCTATTGCTCTCAACACCGCCAAGGGACCTGCCTCAGGTCGTGTTGCCGTGCTGAATATGGCTAGCCATGTCAGTCCTGGTGGAGGATGGCTGAAGGGAGCACGGGCTCAAGAGGAGGCCTTATGTTATCGAAGCTCGCTGTATCTTTCACTCCATCGACGGTACTATCCTTGGAAACAGCGCATGGGTATCTACACCCCTGACGTTGTCATTATTCGTTCAGACCAAGATTCAGGAAACAACCTCCTGACGCCCAGCGTACCAGCCGCAAAGCTCCCAGTTGTCAGTGTTATCAGCATCGCTGCATTGCGCACACCCCCTACCGCCGAAGTTGTTAAGCATGTACGGGGAGATTCTGTTACCGAGACTGTTTTTGCGGAACAATCCGATCGGGAGCTCACCAAGCTCAAAATGAGGCTTTGTCTCAGAATTGCGGCACATCGAAATCATAGATTGCTTGTGCTCGGTGCTTTGGGATGTGGTGCGTTTTATAACCCGCCAAAGGAGGTAGCTCACTGCTGGCTGGAGGTGTTGAAGGAGGCCGAGTTTCAAGGTGGCTGGTGGGAGGAGGTATGGTTCGCCGTGTTCGATAAAAAAGGGGAGGGCAACCTGGAGATATTTGAGGAGGTGCTTCATAATGTTTCTGTGTAAGACTGCACGCGGGGAGTGATAGAGGGCCGTACTTCAGTATTATTGCCTAGTAAGATGGAAAAGAGACACACATCTTGTTGCTGAACACTCTGCTGCCGCGGTACTCATTATTGTCTAAAGAGTTACCAAGAGATCTGCTTTCGCAAATAATACTCCAGCTCAATTAACGATCTTGAATCGGCCCCACCAATATATATGCTATGATGTGGAGCAGAAACAGTACCGATGATCTGGGCCAGACCTCACCTGCATGAACGGGCGACTGCCGCTACGTGTTATAGTCAGTCCATTGACTTCAGCTGCTGGCTGGCCAGCTGAGCACTCGGGTTGGTGTCTTGGAAAAGCTTGCCATATGAACGGTCATGAATGAGACATGGAAGGGACATGGTTCATGATTAGATGCTAGATATTTAAATGCTGGCGTTGTCTTTGATAAGGTATCGTCATATTGCGCCAATATGATACAATCAATGTTTGTCGATTTCGTATGTCAAGCTATTGGAACATATTGGCTAACAAAATCTGGGCTTTAACTATAAGTTTAAGCTGAAGGGCAGAACCGTTCATCTCACTGGTCGTTGATATCTCAGAATGAGACGCTAGCAAACTCCACTGCACCACTTTTATGACACTTTTGCAAACTCTTTATAGTCTTTTTCATGTCGTGATCGGCGATATCTATGGCGTTCTGTGACAGCCCCAGACAGGACCCGAGAACCTAATGAGGATAGCTTCTCGAGAACCCATCAACAAGCGGGTCGATCCCTACTCTGAATGCAGAGCCTTACCCTCGCCTGCATTAGCCCAGCGGGCTTTTAATGATGGCAAAATGGTAAGCAAGTCAGTACTACTACAGCCGCCTCACAACTCTATATCGACTTTTCTTTGCATTCCTTGCCGCAGAAATTTCATTGCCTGTCTATATCTTGGTCGCTGGTCCGGTACATTTTTAAACTCTGCATTTCAACGGTTCATCTCTTGGTACTGCCACTCAACTGGTCCAGCTAGGCGATCAGTCCTCTTTTAGTTCACCCTCTTTAAAGAGGTTGAGATAGCCTGTTACAACGACATGGCCTTCCGCAACAACAAAGATGAGGATGTCGGCGCTGGTGATGGCCCGTCTGCCTACGACACCTATGACTCTACACGTCTCAACGATACATCTGAGTCTGACTCGATCGACCCGGATTCTGGTGTCAAACGCGGTCTGAAGAACCGACATTTGTCGATGATGGCTTTGGCTGGCATTATTGGGCCTGGACTACTTGTTGGCGCAGGCGGCGCTTTGAACGTTGGAGGACCAGCTGCGCTGTTGATCGGCTTTGGTGTTGTTGGTAAGTTGGTCATCTTGCCATATAGTGATCGCGTTAAGATATCGTCTTGAGGCTAACCTTTGAACTCTCGCTGACTTTCACAGGTATCATCGCTTTCTGTATCATGCAATCTCTTGGCGAAGTGACGACGTTGTATCCTGGTGGAGGCTCTTTTATTTCTCTCGCTGAGCGCATGGTAGACAAATCCTTCTCTGTCGCTGTAGGCTGGAATTATTTCGTCATCTGGGCCGCCGTTCTCGCCAATGAGTACAATGTTATCTGCAGTATTCTTACATATTGGGGACCTGTCGTTCCTCTCTGGGGTTACTTCCTCATCTTCTGGACCGTCTTCATGGCATTCCAATTGCTTGGTGTCGAAGCCTTTGGCGAGGCAGAGTTTTGGCTTGCGCTCATGAAACTGCTAGGGTTGACTGCATACTTCATCTTCGCTATTATCTATGCAGCCGGTGGCCTGGTCGGTCAAGATGAGCCTTTAGGCTTCAGATATTGGAGTGACCCAGGAGCTTTCAACGGAAATGGCTTCCGAGGCGTTGCCGCAGTCTTTGTGTTTTGCGCCACGTTTTACTCTGGTGTTGAGTCTATTGCTGTAGCTGCAACTGAGACTAGAAACCCTGGTGTGGCTGTTCCTCAAGCTATCCGCCAGGTTTTTTGGCGGATCATCTTCGTCTACATGGGATCCGCTCTCTTCTTTGGTATCACTTGTCCTGCTAACGCAAGTGGACTCATCAATGGAGGTTCCAAGGCTCTGCAGAGTCCCATGACTATTGCTATTGAGAATGCTGGCTGGGAAGGAGGTCAGTACACTGCAATTTTCTTTTCCCCATGTTTACTGGTGCTAACCTACTACAGGTGTTCACCTTATCAATGCCTTCATTCTTCTCACTTGTTTATCTGCCATCAACTCATCCATCTACTTTGGCTCTCGCACTGTTTTCTACATGGCTCAGTCTGGCAAAGCTCCCAAGGTATTTGCCTGGACTAACAAACGAGGTGTCCCTGTGTGGGCTATCCTCATTACTAATGCTGTTGGCGCCATCTCCATGATGAACGTCTCTACTGGCGCATCCAAAGCTTACAGCTATATCGTCAACCTATCTGGCGTCAGTGCATTTCTTGTTTGGGGTAGCATCTGCTTCATCCATATTCGCTTCCGTCGGGCCTGGGTTGCTCAAGGCCGAAGTCTCGACGAGCTTCCCTACAAGGCGTTGGGATTTCCTTATCTTGCTTGGTTTGGATTGGCGGCTTGCATTTTTCTGGCGTTAGTCCAGGGCTGGACTACGCTGTCACCGTTCGATGCTGGTAACTTTGTAGATGCTTATATCCTGGTGCCCTTGTTTGGTATCATCTATGTATTCTGCAAGATCTTGTGGCGTGGAAGCGATCCACTGAAGCGAAGCTGGAGCATTGATCTTGACAGTGGAAGGAGGACGGATCTGGATCACAATAGCGGTCCGACGTCAAGAGATCTGCCAGGTCAGCTGCCTTGGTGGAAGAAGGTATGGGCTTGGTTTTAATCCCAGGCTCAATGCTATATTTCACTTTTGATGGCAGTACCATCTTACCCATCACTTGTATACGATTCGAGTTTAGACACACGCATATATATGTTCCACTTTGATTCTGTGCTCAGTCAGTTTAATTTCTTATTCACTTCGTTCCCTGATTCCTATGTATAATATTGTTCAAGGGAACAACGGTGACGAAATCTCTCGGCGCTGAACTGAAGGTCACAGGCATCTCTTGCCATTCTATCATCGTAATCTCGATGAGTTCACCGCCGGGATCCTCGGGCGTTCTTTGGAATCTTGCCTTTGCGATCGTAACAACATATGGATGCCTGCCTTTGCAATCAGGCGGCATAGCGTTGGCGATGTGTGATGGGCATCATGGAAAGGGCATGCTGACCATGACCGCTTCAATATGATACTTCGGATCTGTGGGCCAAGCTATTCTTTTGTCGACGATGGCGTTCATCGCAGCACTGACAAGATCGTGGGTGATGTAGAGTGGATACGAGTCTGGGGTGACCAGGGCCCAAAGGGAACGGTTTGCGTCCAAGAATGGAGCGAATCTTGCTGCAAAGTGAAATTTTTGGCATTTTCAGTTTTGGAATCCCGAGATGGGGTCTATCGAGTGTCCATAAGAACATTTCAAGACAGGATTTGGTCTGTAACTAAATAATTAGACAACCATGTTGGGGTTTATAGTAACTCATGAGCAAAGTTTGAGATAACTCATTATTTTCAAACATGCCTTTGGTATTTAACTACTGACACATGTGTGAGTAGAATTCTATGTTTAGGCGTTTATTGTCAAGAATAGAATGGTTCTTGTATGTTTTTTTGCATAATAAGCTATAACTTCGGGGGCTAGGTAAATATGTACTATATGAAGTACCTATCTACGGATAAGGCTCTATGGAAACTATTTTATACCAATCCGTATGACCATGGGTCACCTGAACAGAATTATCAGAAAAAAGCAGATTCAATACAATTCCCTTATTGCTTTGCTTCTTGTCTCGAGTCCGTGGGATTCATTAACGAATAAGTGAGAGTTGATATATGTGTGTTTCGAAACATCGTCACTCACGCTAATATGGTGTCGCACACCATCCTTTCATGATCTGAAACAGTGCACGATCACTAACCATTGACCTCCACGTCTGTTGTTGATATTTCATCAAAACAATGAAGCTATTCGCAGTAACATGTGATAATACCCTACCGACTACTGCTTATGACCCGGACTTATTGATTCCCCGACCTTCAGGGGCATCGCAGGGGTCCGTGCGGAGAGCTATTGGGAGCAGGCTGGTGCACAAACAAGCAAGACATACAGTTCCTGTACAAATTGTTCGAAGTTTATGCATGATGACAGCACTATAAACTGTCTTGCTCCAAGTACCGGTACTTTGAGGCCTCTCGACGATCTTATCAAAGTGGTCAAGGCTTAGTAGTCTAGACTTCTTGAAGCTGCCTTCTCAACAATCATCATCACGATCGACATCTGACTTATTAGCCAAGCCCCTCGCTACACCATCCCATTGAATGATTACCGACCCGACCGTCCAGGATAACCCATCCATCACCCATCTTTCATCTCCAACCTCACACACGTCATACGCATACGCTCTCCTCATCAAAAACTCATTTGTGCCAATCGGTTGACTGTCGCTATCGCTATCGTTATCGAATGCCTCAACCTATACCATGAAAATTGGCCCGACTACTGCGCCTTAAGCATATACGTCCTTTTATCTGTCACGATTAGTACCTACAGCATTTATTTCGCATGTGTCAAGCGATCCGTTCGGTCCGATCACGATATCCTCGGCCCCCAAACTCGATTCAACTCACACATCGTCCCTTACGTTGCGACCTCGGGAGGTCGAGTGAGCTCCGACACGGCCGGTCGCAAGTCGAATGAATGCAACCTCTAAACCCCTTCCTGGCCGCCTTCTTCAAGAGCTCCCTCCCCAGTCAGTGTACACCAGTTCATCACCATATCCTACTGGTTCCATCGACGGATGTTCTCCTCACATTCCGCGAGACCGAGAGCGGGACTGCTCCCGCTGAGGTCATCGCCTCAGAGGACTTCCTCGCCAGCCATGTCCTTCGCGTGCCAGCACCGAATGGCGCGGCGGGAAACAAGGATGGGAGTCAG